AGATCCCAGCATAATAGCTTTGCATCCGACCTAGAGAACAATCATTTCAGATTGGAGCAGGAGTATGGAGAGCTTTGGAGCCATATACCTAAGAAAAAATGGAAACTGATAAAATTGATAAATTATCTGATTGTATTTGGTTATACTGAGAGGAGAGTTATACTCCTAGAAGAGGGTATGAGAATCAATTGGTAGTAAGTACATAGGTAACAAAGTAAACAAAAAAATGCATAATTATTAATTCGTGTAGAGGAACATGCAAGAAAGAAAATGTGAACATAATACTCTAAGTGTCACAGCTTGCAAGTAACATTTACATACTCCTAATAATAGAAACATTCAATATTGATATAACAAAAATAACGTTACTACATTAGGAGGATGGAGAGAGAAAGTATATGCATATTTTGGGGGCAGATGAGAGTTAAATCCTCATTTTAAAAATAGAAGTAGGGCCAAGCGTGGTGGCTCACACTTGTAATCCTACCACTACAGGAGGCCGAGGTGGGCATCACCTGAGGTCAGGAGTTCAAGACCAGCCTGGACAACATGGTGAAACCCCGTCTCTGCTAAAAATACAAAAATTAGCAGGGTACAGTGGCGTGTACCTGTAATCCCAGGTACTCGGGAGGCTGAGGCACCAGAATCGCTTGAACCCGGGAGGCAGAGGTTGCAGTGAGCTGAGATCGCGCCACTGCACTCCAGCCAGTGTGAGAAAGTGAACTGTGTCTCAAAAAAAAAAAAAAAAAAAAAAAAAAAAAGGAAAAATGCAGACATAAACAGTAAGTTTTTTGTTGTTGTTGTTGAGACAGAACCTCGCTCGATCTCGGCTCACTGAAACCTCTGCCTCCTGGATTGAAGTGATTCTCCTGCCTCAGCCTCCTGAGTAGCTGGGACTAAAATTAGTCACCGCACCCAGCTCATTTTTGTGTTTTTAGTAGACATGGGATTTCACAGGCTGGTCTCGAACTCCTGACCTCAAATGATCCACCTGCCTCGGCCTCCCAAAGTGCTGGGATCACAGGAGTGAGCCACCGTGGCTAGCCAACAACTCATAAGCTTTTACATTAAGTGCTGTTCTGAATAGTGTGATAAAATATCCTCCCTCTCCATCCCACCCAGGATGGCAATCCTCCCTTTGTCCAGTGTATCCACACTGTAGGCAACACTCACCCACTAATCACTTAGTAGCCATCTCAGTTATCAGAGCGTATCACAGTATTTGTATGTAAGCAACCCTTATTTTACTTAGTAATGAGCCCAAAATGCAAGAGTAGTGGTGCTGCCAATTTGGCTTTGCCAATGAGAAGCCATAAAGTGCTTCCTTTAAATGAAAAGGTGGAAGTTCTCAATAAGTAAAAAAAAAAAACTTATGCTGAGGTTGCTAAGATTGAAGGTAAGAATAAATCTCCCCTATTTGTGAAATTGTGAAAAAAAAGAGAAAAAAACTCACGCCAGTTTTGCTGTTGCACCTCAAACTGCAAAAGTTATGGCCACAGTGCATCATAAGTGCTTAATTAAGATGGAAAAGGCATTACATTTGTGGATGGGAGACATGAACAGAAACATGTTCTGATTGTCAGCATTCGGGTTCGGTATTTTCTGCAGTTTCAGGCGTCCACTGAGGGCCTTGGAATTTCCCTGAAGATAAGGGTAGACTACTGTATGAGGTATCTACAGTAGTCAAATTCACAGAAACAGAAAGCAGAAGGGTGGCTGTTGCTAGCAGCTGGGAGGAGGGGGAAATGGGGAATTGTTAAATAGGTATAGAGTTTCAGTTTTCCAAGATGCAGAGCTTTGGAGATTGGCTGCAGGGTGATATGAATGTACTTAACACTACTGAACCATACACTTAAAAACAGTTAAGATCGCCGAGTGCGGTGGCTCACCCCTGTAATCCCAGCACTTTGGGAGGCTGAGGTGGGCGGATTACGAGATCAGGAGATCAAGACCATCCTGGCTAACACGGTGAAACCCTGTCTCTACTAAAAAAAAATACAAAACATTAGCCCGGCGTGGTGGCAGGCGCCTGTAGTCCCAGCTACTTGGGAGGCTGAGGCAGGAGAATGTCGTGAATCCAGGAGGCAGAGCTTGCAGTGAGCTGAGATCGCTCTACTGCACTCCAGCCTGGGTGACAGAGCAAGACTCCGTCTCAAAAAAAAAAAAAAAACAGTTAAGATCACCAGCTACAGTGGCTCACACCTTTAATCCCAGCACTTTGGGAGGCCAAGGTGGGCGGATCACAAGGTCAGGAGATTGAGACCATCCTGGCCAACATGGTGAAACTAAAATACTAAAAATAAATACATATAAAAATACATATAAAAATAAATACATATAAAAAATAAAAATAAAATACTAAAATACATCTCTACTAAAAATACAAAAATTAGCTGGGTGTGGTGGTGCATGCCTGTAGTCCTAGCTACTTGGGAGGCTGAGGCAGGAGAATCCCTTGAACCAGGGATTTGGAAGTTGCAGTGAGCCGAGATCGTGCCATTGCACTCCAACCTGGTTGACAAGAGCCAAACTCCGTCTCCAAAAAAAGAAAATAAACATTTTTTTTAATTTGCAAAAAACACATAGGTTCATAAAGGAAAACAATCATATTCACATATAATTATCAAAATATTAAAATGTTTATGGTGTAGTAACTGATTTTTATCAATGCATTAAAGATCGAACAGTAAGTCTAATAGCAATTATAATTACAAAGTGTGCTGAATGCAAACAATATTTAGATGTATCTTCAACACTTATAATGTAAAATGAAAATATCTGTTATTTCTATTAGTAAGAACATTGCAGTTACTGCCAGTACCAGTGATCTGTTGCCTACATTCATAATTAAAGGAGATGCTAAATTTCTGTTAAAGGTTAGTGAAAATACAGATGTAATTTTGGCTGGGCATGCTGACTCATGCATGTAATCTCAGCACTTTGGGAGGCTGAGGTGGGAGGATCGCTTGAGGCCAGGAGTTTGAGACCAGCCTGGGCAACATGGCAAGATCCTGTCTCTACAAAAAATTTAAAAAATTTGCTAGGTATGGTGGCACACTCCGGTAGTTACAGCTGTGAAGGAGGCTGAGGCGGGTGGACTGCTTGAGCCCAGGAGTTCAAGGATGCAGTGAACTATGATTGTGTCACTGCACTCCAGCCTGGGCAACAGAGGGACACCTGCCTCAAAAATAAATAAATAAGTAATTTTTTTCCCTTCCAAGTTCACAAATTCCCTGAATTCTATGATCTGTAGGCCCAGGTTTAGAAGCTCTGCTTCTCTAAGCCTCAGATTTATCATCAGTCCTTAGTGTTTGACACATTCCTAACTTATTCACTCACACAGGCAACTGTTTCACACTATGTTCACACCTCAACCCCAATCACTCCTCCCTCATCCTTTCTCTCAGTTGCTTCCTACTTCACTGAGAAAAATAGAAGCAACCAGAAAAAAATTTTCAGACTCCCACCACATCTGCCTAACCTCTACACTTGCACCCACCTTCTCTGCTTGTGGCCCGTTACCATAAACGAACTGCCCACACTCCTACCTAAAGCCAATCCTGAATAGATCTCATGACCTCAAACCTATTCAAGGGCACTACTGCAGTAAATCTCCTACACCATCAAAATTTTGGAGATGTTCTAAAAATTATTTCCGTCAACATAGAACATGCTATTTCTTCCATCTTAAAACTTTTTCTTGAATCTATTTCCCCTACCATGACTCCTATCTCTCTGTCCCCATATTGAGCAAAACTCAGGTTTCTTTTTTTTTTTAGATAGAGTATTTCTCCAGCCTAAGTTGGAGTGGAGTGGCGTGATCTCAGCTCACTGCAACATTCGCCTCTGGGGCTCAAGCGATTCTCCTGCCTCAGCCTCCCAAGTAGCTGGGACCACAGGTGTGTGCCACCATACCTGGTTATTTTTTTTGTAGTTTGAGTAGAGACGGGGTTTCACTATGTTGCCCTGGGAGGTCTCGAAGTCCTGAGCTCAGGTGATCCATCTGCCTCAGCCTCCTAAACTGCTGGGATTACAGGCATGAGCCACTGCGCTCAGCCTCTTTTTTTTTTTTTTTTGAGATGGAGTCTTGCTCTGTCTCACTCAGGCTGGAGTGCAGAGACATGATCTTGGCTCACTGCAGCTTCTGCCTTCCTGGGTTCAAGTGATTCTCCTGTCTCAGCCTCCCAAGTAGCTGGGACTACAAGCGTGTGCCACCACACCCGGTTAATTTTGTATTTTTAGTACAGACGGGGTTTCACCATGTTGGCCAGGCTGGTCTCAAACTCCTGACCTCAGGTGATCCACCCGCCTCAGCCTCCCAAAGTGCCGGGATTACAGGCACAAGCTAGTGTGCCCGGCCTTTTTTTTCTCTCTTTTTGAGACAGGGTCTCTCTCTGTCGCTCAGGCTGAAGTGCGGTGACAAAAACATGGCCTGAAGGTGGATTCAAGCGATCCTCCTGCTTCAGCCTCCTGAGTAGCTGGGACTACAGGCATGCACTGCTATGCCCAGCTAAGAGACCAGCTTTATCCATTACCACAACTGTTTATCAAATTAGGATATTGTCACAGAGAAACAGAGATAGCACAGATTTTAAAGATCAACTTTATTGAAGTACAATTTACATACAAATTTTATGTGTATTGGCCGGTACGGTGACTCACGCCTCTAATCCCAGCACTTTGGGAGGGCGAGGCGGGCGGATCACGAGGTCAGGAAATCAAGACCATCCTGGCTAACACGGTGAAACCCCGTTTCTACTAAAAATGCAAAAAATTAGCTGGGCGTGGGGCGTGGTGGCGGGTGCCTGTGGTCCCAGCTACTCGGGAGGCTGAGGCAGGAGAATGGCGTGAACCTGGGAGGCGAAACTTGCAGTGAGCCGAGATCGCGCCACTGCCCTCCAGCCTGGGCGACAGAGCGAGACTCCGTCTCAAAAAAAAAAAAAAAAAAAAAAAAAAAAAAAAAAAAAAAAAAAAAAATTATGTGTATTTTTTTGATGAGTTTTTACAAATGTATAGGTAATTTTATTTGTGGTGGAGGACATTAAGGTTCCCTGGGATTGTGCAGGTCCAGGGATTTAACAGAGGGATCCTGGTTAGGAAACAGGACAACATTAAGGCTCTTGGGAAATATAATCAAACAGGAACAAGTGGAAACACCAAGGGCTGGCCAGAGGTTGGTCCTGGGGTCTCACTGCACCAGGATCTGGCCCTCTGGAATGCCTGGCGACTTCATGGCAGCTCCTGGCCCTCCTCAGGGAGCGGTCTCACCACTCTGACGTGTGTTTAGGCCACGAGATGAGACCTAGGACTGGGTTCTGGCTCTCTGCCCTGCAACTTTCCTGCCACTACCTGCGCCCGTATCCCTGCCCACCAATGGGGGGCGCTCCAGTCGGTGACAGCCAACTTTCGCTGCTGCCACCACAACCGCAGTGCCCAATTACCTCTCCAGTCTGTTAGAAACCGGTTTCAGATCCGCGGTGGAACGGCGGGCGGGAAAAAGCCCAAGCGCTGTCTCGGGTGCCCCTTCGGGTCAGCCATCCTCTGGTCTCCGAGGCTCGGGGCTAACTGGGCGCGAACCGCTGAGCCCGCCTACCAATCAGGCCCTTTCTCCCGCCCCTCTGCGGCTGAAACCCTCAAAGGGTTGCAGTTTCAGCTTTCACTTAGAGACAGCAACTCCAAATTCAGGGTCGCTGGGGAAACTGAGGTAGGACTGGGGACTCTGGGTGAGAGGTCAGACAGTGGTCGCGGACTCTTTCTCCCGAGAAATGGGGATAGCTCTTCCGATAGCCCAAAGCGACTCACGCAGATCCTAGAAGAGAGCGCCGAGGTCCGGGGGGTTGGCCCGGGAAAGCGAAGCGCCGCCCACGCGGCTGGGAAACCTCAGGGTGGTGCTGGCCGGAGGTGGGGCCAGGGGCGGGTTCCGGGCGGAGGGTGGGGCAGACGTGGGTTACCGGGTGTGCCAGCCAAACCTTGCACAGAGGAGGTGGCGGTGGTGGCCCTCGCCTGTGGCCCCCGTGCTGCTTGCACTCGAACTCTTCGCCATGGAGGAGCTCCAGGAGCCTCTGAGTGGACAGCGCCGGCTCTGTTTCACGCCAGCTCCCCGGACCAGCCTCTTACTGCTCAGGCTCAACGACGCTGCGCTGCGGGCGCTGCAAGAGTGTCAGCGGCAACAGGTACGGCCGGCCCCCTTCTTCTCTAGTCCCTGCCCCTGGGAACCTTGGGCCTCAGCCGGCGACCCTGGAGAAGGTGCAAGGGAGAGGGAGCGGCATCCGCAAGCTCTGGCCTCCCCACCTCTCCAAGTGAAGCCGGCTAGGCAGGTGATCCCGGGCTCCGGACCCCGGATTCTGGGGATACCGCTTCACCTGCGCTCAATGGTCACATCTTCGCTCTCCCCGCAGGTACGGCCGGTGATTGCTTTCCAAGGCCACCGAGGGGTAAGTGCGAGCTCAGGGTGTGTGAGCGAGGTGAGGGCGAGGGAGCATAAACGTGGGCTGGAGGTGGAAGGTGCGGTCGGGGCCGGAGGCTGCGAGTGGTCACGGTCTGAGGTATTTCCGAGAACTGAACTCCAAATGGGGCGAGGAGGCTGCTGGGGTTGTCCCAGGGGGCTGTGGTTGAGGGGACTGTGCTGTTTCAGCCTCCTGGGGAACTCAGGCCCAGCTGCACCTGGTGTGCTAACAAGCCCTGTGGGACCCGTCTTAGTCTTACTTAGGCTGGCTCCCGGAGGAGTGGCGGCGGCAGGAGGGGGAGGGGCTGACCTCATGGGGCTTACCGTCTCCTTCCACCTCCAGTATCTGAGGCTCCCAGGCCCTGGCTGGTCCTGCCTCTTCTCCTTCATAGTGTCCCAGTGTTGCCAGGAGGGCGCTGGTGGTAGCTTAGACCTTGTGTGCCAACGCTTCGTCAGGTGAGGGGGAACAGGTAGCAGGCAAGAAAGGGTTTGTGGAAAGTGGGGGAGGGAAATGTGGAGAGGTGCTTAAGAGCTCACCCCCCTATTTTTTTCCACCACGCCTTTCCAGGTCTGGGTCTAACCACCTCCACTGCCTGGGCTCACTCAGGGAGCGCCTCATTATTTGGGCAGCCATGGATTCTATCCCAGCCCCATTATCAGTTCAGGGACACAACCTGCCTGCAGATGCCAGACATCCTGAGAGTTGGCAGAACACAGGAAACTATTCTGAAGGAGATGTAGTATCACAGCCACAGATAGCACTAGAGGAGGTGAGGCCAGAAACTGCAGGGAGTTGTGATAAGGTGGGGCAAAGGCTGAAGTCCAAGGTATCCCAGTACTCCAGGGAACCAAGTGCTCCTGCCACTTTCCCCACCAGGTGTCAGTGTCAGATCCACTGGCAAGCAACCAAGGACAGTCACTCCCAGGATCCTCAAGGGAGCACATGGCACAGTGGGAAGTGAGGTACTTGGGACGGGGTGGGACTAACATGGGAAGCTTTGGCATTGTCTTCCTTTCTAATCTCCACTCTTAAATGTTGTAATAAAAGATCCAGTTCCACCTCCTACCCTGGTCTTCATCTGTCCCATTCCCTGAAAATATCCTAGAAACCAGACCCATCTTCCAAACAGAGAACCTGTTCAGGCGCTGCCTTCCTCTGCCAGCCGGAAACGTCTGGACAAGGTAAGTTATAATGGCAAGGGCTTTTCTTTTCTTTTTTTTTTTTTTTTTCTGTAACATTGATATAATGAAACAGTGGCAAAGACTATTTTGAAGAGCACTTTTAGTCAAGCAAAAACTTAGAAATTGGAAGCTCATTATATAGGAGGAATTTTTTTAGAGACAAAGTCTCTCTGTTCCCCGGGCTGGAGACTCCTGGGTTCAAGCCATCCTTTTTTTTTTTTTTTTTTTTAAATTTAGTCTCACTCTTGTCACCCAGGCTAGGGTGTCGTGGTATGATCACAGCTCACCACAGCCTTGAACTCCTGGGCTCAGGTGATTCTCCCTCCTCAGGTGGTGTGTGCCACCACACCAGGCTCATTTTCTGATTTTTTTGCAGAGATAGGGTCTCACTATGTTACCCAGACTAGTCTTGAAATCTTGTGTTCAAGCGATTCCCCCACCTCAGCCTCTGAAATGGTTGGGATTACAGGTATGAGTCACTGTGCCCAGCCTAGGAGGAATTCTTGAGAAAATAACATATTTAGGAAGCTCTTGGCTATTTATGTCACACAGATATTTTCCTCAACAGAAACGTTCAGTGCCTGTGGCCACTGTAGAACTAGAAGAAAAGAGGTTCAGAACTCTGCCTTTAGCGCCAAGCCCCCTACAAGGCCTGACCAATCAGGATTTACAAGAGGGAGAAGATTGGGAGCAAGAAGATAAGGATGAAGACATGGACCCCAGATTAGAATGCAGTTCCTCAGTTCAAGAAGGTGAGTTAATGAAAGGAGGGTAAAAATGCCAGTGGAAAAGACTTACAATCACTTGTGTTTTCTTGATTCCTTCCTAGATTCTGAATCCCCAAGCCCTGAAGATGTGCCAGACTACCTCCTGTGAGTTCCCTTGCTTTTTCCAATTTCATGAAGCCTTGTGCATATATTAAGATATACTTCCTGGAAGCTGAGGGCTTTTCAGGGGCAATGAAATTAAAGGTGACAGCTCTCTGCTCCTGGCAGGCAATACAGGGCCATCCGCAGTGCAGAACAGCAACATGCCTATCAGCAGGACTTTGAGACAGATTATGCTGAATACCGCATCCTGCATGCCCGTGTTGGGACTGCAAGCCAAAGGTTCATAGAGCTGGGAGCAGAGATTAAAAGAGTTCAGCGAGGAACTCCGGAATACAAGGTAAGGACAGGACCCAGCCTGGCTTTCCAACTCTACTGGCCATTAACCCCCTGCTAACCACCCATATGCCTGTGTTCATAAAGTGACTAAGCAGTGACAAGGAAACCTGTTTGAAAGGAAAAATTAGTCTGTATCATTGTATCATTCAGTAGAATGAGAAGGGAAGTTACTTCTCTTTTTTGAGACAGTCTAGCTCTGTCTCTCAGGCACAGTCTTGGCTCACTGCAACCTCCACCTCTTAGGCTAAAGCAATTCTCATGCCTCGGCTTTCCGAATAGCTGGGATTATAGGTATGTGCCACCATGCCCAGCTAATTTTTGTATTTTTAGTAGAGACAGGGTTTCACCATGTTGGCCAGGCTGGTCTTGAACTCCTGACCTCAAGTGATCCACCCACCTCAGCCTCCCAAAGTGCTGGGATTACAGGTGTGAGCTACTGCACCTGGCCCCTCTCTTTTTTCTGAGATGGGAGTCACTTCGCCCAGGCTGGAGTGCAGTGGCGCGATCTCGGCACACCGCAAGCTACGCCTTCTGGGTTCACGCCATTCTCCTGCCTCAGCCTCCCAAGTAGCTGGGACTACAGGCGCCTGCCACCACGCCTGGCTAATTTTTTTGTATTTTTTAGTAGAGATGGGTTTCACTGTCTTAGCCAGGATGGTCTCTATCTCCTGACCTCATGATCTGCCCACCTTGGCCACCCAAAGTGCTAGGATTACAGGCGTGAGCCACCGTGCCTGGCCACCCCTCTCTTTATTTCTTAATGTTGAACTCAGTGCTAGTATTTTCTGTTTCAGGTGCTGGAAGACAAGATAGTCCAGGAATATAAAAAGTTCAGGAAGGTAAGACAAAGTCGGGGAATGGAAGCAAGCAAGGTAGAAATGAGAATTTTTACTTTTTGACATGGATGCTTTTTCTCTGCAGCGGTACCCAGGTTACAGAGAAGAAAAGCGTCGCTGTGAGTACCTTCACCAGAAATTGTCCCACATTAAAGGTCTCATCCTGGAGTTTGAGGAAAAGAACAGGGGCAGCTGAAGTTATCAAGGGAATTCTTGAGCCTCTGCTTAGTGAAACACGAAGGAACAAAGCAGCTGTAAACTAAATAGAATGCAACTATCTGCTTTTCTTATGCTGACCACTGGAGTCCGCGGTGGCAAGTAGAGAGTTGCTCTAGCTTCCTGAGGTTTGGTTTTCATTGTTAATTTTTGGGGTGTGGGCACTGTGCAAAGACTCCATAGCTATGCCTAGGAGTTTAGGAAAAGTGACAGAGGCTTGGCTTTTTTACCTTTAGTTCAGCCAAGTCATTTTCAAGTCCTGAGAAATGACATTATCTTCAGGATAAGATGATGAAGACATTAGACAAACCAAACTAAGTGAATTTAGTCTACTAGCCTCCCTAAGGAAACAGTAATAATAACTTTTGGTAAGAGCTAAAATAACTTGTAGCATACCTAGATATAATGGGAAAGGGCCTGGGTGTTACCCATGTACTGAAAATGAACTTTTTTACCAACATGGCTAAAAAATTAAAACTGACTGCTTCTGTATCCTTTGTACAAGTTTATATGTTTTCCTTAAATCTTCCAAGGCAGGTGGTTCTTAACCCTGCCTTCATATCTGAGCCACTTTTGGGGCTCTCTAAACAATTAGATCCCTGGACCCCAGCCCAGATGTTATGAGTTAGAATCTCCAAGATTATGGTTTAGACATCTTTTACTTTTTCCAAGCTCTGTGTGTGACCAAGATACATACTTTGCTGTAAGGCTCTACCAAATTCATCTTAAAATTGACAGCTACATACTGTAATTATATAGTAGGAAGAAAATCCTTTTCTGAACATAGGAATTCCTAGGATCACCTAAAGTAGCGCTCCTACCTCGAATTATCCAGTGACTGAAAACTATAACTGGGCAGGATTTGAATTTACCTACAAAAGGAGATAAATGGTTTAGTTGGACAAAAGATCACTCTTCAGTCCTTTCTGTTCCTCACTGTTACAAAAGAAAGTGGATGCTTTACTCATAACTAGGAATGATACTGCTTTTCCCAGTTCTACTGAAGGGGGAGGTTAAAGGGCCACACCCTAGGCTTTGGGAGATAGAACTGCACCCAGCAGCGTCAGCAATTCCTGAAACAACTTGGATGAAACCTCGTGATGCCACACCCTTGAAAGGGCATTTCTGGGCAGAGAACAGTCCTTGGGAGGTATAAATATGCAGTCAGCTTAGCTGCGTGGCAAGGATAAACAGGAACCCATCCTTAGGGCATGGACAGCCTAACAAGAAAGGCCCTTCACCTGTTGTCATCACCAGGGTAGGCCTGGGCAATAAACATGTAAGGAGAGAAAGAGATAATAAATTTTGAAAGAATTTTGAGGTGATTATGGACCCAGTCAGTCAGTCTACAGCTGCAGTGATCAGTATGGTAGCAACTGTATTGCTATTTAAATTAATGAAGACTAAAAATGTAGTTTCTAGCCATATTTCAGATGCTCCATAGCTACCTGTACTGAACAGTGTAAATTACAGAGCATTTCCATCACTGAGGAAAGCTCTATTGAACAGTGACAGTGTGCAGAGAACACCTGGTTCTCAATCTTGTGGAAAGTAAGACAGTTTAAAGGGGTCTCATTTATTGTCACTGTTCCAAATGTACAAAAAAAATTAGAAAATACCCCCAACTCAACCCCACCCCCAAAACATTCCCCCCAACACAAATAATTTTTCCCAAAACCACAAACATAAACTGGTCCTGGTATTTCCATAAACAGTGCAGCTAAGAAACAGTTTAGAGAAAATTTAACAGGATTCAGATTATATCCATTCTGTCCTCTCAGCCCTGAGAGGTAATAATTCCCATATGGGTCCCAGTCCTCCCTAATGGTTTTCCCATCTCTGGTGGAAGAGTCCTTTTACAAAGTGGCGTTTGGCTACTGCTTTAGAGATCCTCCTGTGCCTTCTTCTTCTTCTTGGGTTTTTCTTCTTGAATTACAGGGGGGTTTGTAGCTTCCCGTTGTAGATAGCTAATAAAATCACTTAATTCACGGCCACCCTGAAAACAGAAAGATTACCTTAAAAATATAACTTTTTAAATAACCCTGATCTGCTCCAAACAGGAAGACTTTTGAGTTTGTAAAAGCACATTAGCAGCCACATATACTGACCATGAGAGTTTAAACAGTTTTTAGTTAAATAAACCCAATTAGCCTGGCGTGGTGGCTCACGCCTGTAATCCCAGTACTTTGGGAGGCCAAGGTGGGCAGATCACCTGAGGTCAGGAGTTCAAGACCAGCCTGACCAACATGGAGAAACCCCATCTCTACTTAAAATACAAATTAGCGGGGGGAGGGATTGCATTGGGAGTTATACCTGATGTAAATGACGAGTTGATGGGTGCAGCACACCAACATGGCACAAGTATACATATGTAACAAACCTGCACATTATGCACATGTACCCTAGAACTTACAGTATAATAAAAAAAAAAAAAAAATACAAATTAGCCAGGGTGGTGGCACATGCCTGTATCCCAGCTACTTGGGAGGCTGAGGCAGGAGAATCGCCCAGACCTGGGAGGTGGAGGTGCGGTGAGCCGAGATCGCGCCATTGCACTCCAGCCTGGGCAACAAGAGCGAAAACTCCGTCTCAAAATAAATAAAATTAAATAAGTAAATAAACCAGCCCAATTAAAGAACTATGTTTAAGAGTGTGTGTTATGTCTGTGTAATGTATTTAATGAGGATATGGGACAATTCACTTACTTCATATTTCTTTGGATTTAGCTTCTTGTTGGCTGGAGAGAAGTATATAGTAGAGAAACTGGGGAAAGAAACATTTATTAATTTGAAGCAGTGTGTGGGCTCATGTGCAGAACTCTTAAGCCAAGAAGGAATCAGTGGTTCTTCCTTCAACTGGAATATGAAGACTATGTCTAGTAATGATTTCCTGGTGGTTACAAGCTTTATTCCAATCAATTGCCTAGACACTTTTATTAATTTTAATCCACTTACCCTCTGACTTCATATGGAGAAGGCACATCATTGGCCTGGCATCCATCTTGGCTATGTTGATATTTTGGAGTCTTTGCTGAGCTGTTAATAAAACAGGTTAAATGTTTACATTTCAAATTTTCAGTGACAGAGGGACACTTAAGTCATTTCAAGACTTAAAACAATCTCATTCTTCAAATACTAAAAATACAAAAATTAGCTGGGTGTGGTGGTACTTTCTTAATTCCAGCAGATAAACTGCTGTTCAATTAGGAAGGTGCTTTGCAGATGGTAGTACCTCACTTTCCACAAGCTTCCTTTTTTCTCTTTAATATTAAGACTACATATTGCCACCTTCAAATTTACCTGGTCTAAATAAGACATTACAGGGGATAAGTCAAATGTTTTAAGATGAAGAACCATATGGATTCATGTAAGCCATTACCAAAATTCAGAAGTTCTTAGATATTTTGAACTATTATCTAGATTGGAGGCCTGAGGAATGGAAAGTTAAAAGTGGGTATCTCAGGCACTGCACAGGCTGGAGCACTAGGGGGCAGTCAAGAGAAAGTGAGTAAACGGCAAGTAATTGGGAAAAAAATCTACAAGTACTTAGGAACCAAGCAAATGAGCCAATGCTGAATACATATATAAACTTTGCTCCTGCTCAAATGTTATCCTCAGAATAGGGTTCACACTTACCTTCTCTCCAGGATTCTTTATACTTGGGCTCCAGATTCTTACAGTGACCACACCAAGGAGCATAAAATTCAATCAGTACATCTTTATTTTCATTATTCACTATTTCATCAAAATTCTCTGCTACCACTACCTGGAAGCTTTGAAGAATCTCTAGTTGGTAAGGTAACATAAAAAAATAAATTCACAAGCTGTATTTGTTCCTAGACCCAATCCCTCTCTAATTTGATGTGTTACCACAGAAAAAAAGTCATAGAAACCCAAATCACATTTACAGATTAAAGATATTTGTCATTCACTAGATACCAACTCGTTCCTTTGTCTGTCACCTGTCAAACTATGTTCAGGAAGTTACTGAACTTATATGAATATAGAAGTGCTACCCAACTGTTCCTTAAAATAATTTCAAGCCAGGCTTGGTGGCACATGCCTGCAGTCCAAGCTACTCAGAAGGCTGAGGCAACTGAGTAAGACCACATCTCTATAAAAAAATTCAAAAGTAACACACACTGTTCTTAGGGGTTGCTCTATCCTCCAAAATGCTTAGCCCAATATAAATTTCATCAGAAAATTCTATGCAGGCTTTATACTCTTGCCCCTACCAAGCATTATGAGCCCTGCTAATGCTTTTTTTTTTGAGATGGAGTTTCACTCTTGTCACCCAGGCTGGAGTGCAGTGGCATAATCTCGACTCACTGCAACCTCTGCTTCCCGGGTTCAAGCGATTCTCCTGCCTCAGCCTCCCGAGTAGCTGGGAACACAGGTGCCCACCACCACACTTGGCTGATTTTTTTGTATTTTTAGTAGAGATGGGGTTTCACCATGTTGGGCAGGCTGACCTCGAACTCTCAGCCTCATGATCTGCCTGCCTCGGCCTCCCAAAGTGCTGGGATTACAAGCATGAGCCACCACTTGGCCTGCCAATGCTTATTTTATGACTCAGGGAGTAAGGACAAAAAAAAAAAAAAAAAAAGAGGTATGCTTGAAGTCTTCATTTAGACCCCCACAGTTTTGGAACAAAGCGAGGAGAGGCAATTGCTCATAGCTTGATGAAGCTGTCAATTACCTCACCTTTACAGGCCCATCATTTGCTCTCTGGGATGAGTTCAGACTTCAGGTATCTCTTCAGATTGCCATCAAAGTAATCCTGCAGGAACCTCTCCAGAGCCTTCCCATCAGCCTACAGTTAAAACAAGGGTAAGGCTTGATAATCTATTTCCCACCACTGAGAAAATTATAGCAATTGCTTTGAACAGTTACTATGTATTTTAGCTTTTCAAGGCTAAAAAAAAGGGGAACTCTTATCTCTCAATATGCAGAACTACAGACTGAAGAAACAAACCATTCTTTTTATTTCTAGTGTGTTCTTTGTGGATTTCAAAGTTCAGAGAATCATTTGGTCTGCTAGAGATTCATTTTTGTAAAGAACCAGTCTTATTGCTCTGGAGGATAGTATTGTGCTTACAGTATTTCATTTTATTGATTGTCTCACAAGGAATATTTTCTCTTGTCTCAATCTCCCAAAATCTCAGAAAGTGAGGAGTAAAAATTGTCTCAGGTCTTAAGATCTTCCTGATTCTGAGTTTACTTTAGACTCATGTAGTATTTCAAAGAAAATACATTCTGTAGGGATAGAGGGGGAATGGTTGGTTTGAAATTACATTGAAGTATCAACGAAGCTGTGTAAATCTTTTTTTGGGTTGCAAATTTTTTTTAGAGACGGGGTCTGGCTATGTTGCCCAGGCTGGCCCACTCCAAACTCATGGCTCAAGTGATCTTCCTGCTTCAGCCTCCCAAAGTGCTGGGATTATAGGTGTGAGCAACCACATCTGGCCCAAAGGAGGTTATCCAATCATATCTTTTTTATTTTTTTGAGACACAGTCTTGCTCTGTCACCCAGGCTGGAAAACAGTGGCGTGATCTCAGCTCACTGCAACCTCTGCCTCCCGGGTTCAAGTGATTCTGGTGCCTCAGCCTCCCTAGTAGCTGGAATTACAGGTGCACACCATCATACCCAGCTAATTTTTGTATTTTTAATAGAGACAGGAGTTTCACCATGTTGGCCAGGCTGGTCTCGAACTCCTGACTCAAGTGATCCACGCCACCTTGGCCTCCCAAAGTGCTGGGATTACAGGTGTGAAGTCACTGTGCTCAGCCTTTATCTACTGCAATTAATAATGACCAAGTGGAATTATGTAGAATTCCAACCTGCCATCCTTTCATTAGTTTTTCAGAATTCATTAGGATCATAATCCTTAAAAGTATCTATATGTATTTATTTATTTTTATTTATTGTTTTTTGAGACAGAGTTTCACTCTTGTTGCCCAGGCTGGAGTGCAATGGCACGATCTTGGCTCACTGAAACCTCCGCCTCCCAGGTTCAAGCGATCCTCCTGCCTCAGCCTCCCAAGTAGCTGGGATTACAGGCATGTACCACTGTGTCTGGCTAATTTTTGTATTTTTAGTAGAGACGGGGTTTCTCTATGTTGGTCAGGCTGGTCTGAACTCCTGACCTTAGGTGATCCTGCCGCGCCAGCGCCCAAAGTGCTAGGATTACAGGTGTGAGCCACTGTACTTAGCCTAAAGTATCTATATTTAAATTGAGAGAAAAAGCGACAGTCATAGGTCTTGATTAAAAGACCTATCTTCACATTCCAGGGTTACTGTTCTTTAGAAATCCTTTGTATTATAAAAACTGTCATGCTTGGAGAATCAAAGCCCAGCTAGCAACTCACGAAACTCCTCCTGTGACAAACCTCTCCTTACTTGATTCTGATAGCAACAACAGGAATCTGCCTCAGCAGTGCTCTCCAAGCCAAAATCAGAAAGTTCATGGCTAAAGGTTTTGCGGCTAGCTACAATAAGTTAGTTTGTGCCCAGCATCCAGAAATTTCTTTGCCTTACCATCATTACCCTGTAGAAACAAGAGACATTTGTGACAAGGCTATACAGGGTAGTCCAAAGCGCTTTTGAAACTAAGCAGCAAGTGACTGGAGAGCAAAGACCAAGTTCTATAGTTCTAGCCTTCTGGAATCAGTCTCTGAACAGTCTGAGCTTCTGGGCCCTGACAGAGGTTATGATATACTTCAATGCCTTACTGAACTTCACTGTAAATTGGTGATGCCCAATCAACTGGTACATTCCTGCTAAATCTTGCTGTAATATACAACTGAAATCTGTTTTAGGCGCAATGACTGATCTGAAAAGAAAATTTGTAAAGGTAAAATGCACTGAGACTCTAAATGTGCAAGTAAGCACAATGTTTCACGTGCATTTTATCAAATTCCACGCTACTTAGAGTCACTGTGTCACAAAGCAAAAACACCTATGAAATACATACCCAACAGATTTTGAAAACAGTTGTATTATTTGTCCTATGGCTTCAAAGGTAGTTTTTGGAAGCCAAATGTTCCCATTCTTTCCTGCTCTTGCCACCACACATGGTGACAGGACAGTAATTTTAATTTTTTTACAGCTTCTTAAGGGAAACAACAAGATAGTTAGAAGGGACTGTTTCCCACATACATTGGGTAAATTTGTCCATGTGGGAAAAACACTAAATTCTCTTATTACCTGTATTTCTCCAGTAGTTGGAACCTTTAGCATTCTTTTCATAGTCCACATCATAGTAAGCAATAAGTAAGTCCTTGCCCTGTATCAAATCTTTATTGTCTTCTGTCATGTGAGGGCAGATACCGAAACTGAAATGAAATAATCCATTATCAACTGGCTTGGCAAGTTTTTAGCTATATCATAAAGTTGCCACAAAGTAACTGATAGCATTTATGAAGGAAAGAGATTTTCAACATTTAGGACAAGTACTGAGCAATATATACCTTACAGGATGACAACAGGAGTTCTAACACCCATACATTACTGCTTTAATGTAAACTCAAACCTTATTACAATCCCCGAATAGACCGTTTAAGCCAAAATATAGCTCTGCTTAATAACTGAGGTAAACAAACTAAAATCAAACAAATAAATCCCAGACAAGATACAAAGTACTCACATGTTTTCCTGGATGAACTTTTAATTTTGCCACTGGTCATTTTTGCTCTGTGTGTCTACAGTTTTGTCCTCAAACTTGTTAGTCAGATGTGAATGAAATAAGATGATACCCCTTAAAAGTCTCAGTAGGCAGATAGCAGAAGAACTGTCTCCCATCATTTTTTTTTTTTTTTTTTTTTGAATAGGGTTTCACTCTGTTACTCAGACTGGAGTGCAGTGGTATGATCTTGTCACTGTAGCCTTGAACTCCCAGGCTCAAGTGATTCTCCACTCCAGCTGCCCAAATAGCTGAAGTACAGTGTACACCACCATGCATAACTAATTTTTATTTTTAAAATTTTATAGAGATAGAGTCTCACCATGTTACAAGAGCTAGTCTTGAACTCCTAGGCTCAAGTGATCCTCCCATCTCGGCCTCAAAAATGCTGGGAGTACAGGTGGAGCCCCATGTTTCTTATAATACTCCAGACTATCTACTTTTGCTGCCACTTTTAACCAGCAACATCTAAGCACACAAGGACTCTTTCTAGTACCACAGATTCAGCAACATGACATTCTCTGATAACACTAAGATACTAACCACCTTAATCTTAAGTGCAATAATTGGAGTATAGGGTTTAATACATTTTGGGTAGGAGAAGATTAAAGAGAGGGAACATGATTCTAATCATAGTTCCCCAACTAATTCAAACACACTGGACCAGGTCTCAATTTAATCCTTCGGTTTTAGCTTTTCTGTTATCTCAAAGGGGGTTAAATGAGACACTCAAGCCTTTGAAACAAGCTAGCAGGCTGGGTGTGATGGCTCAGCCTGTAATCCCAGCACTTTGGGAGCCTGGGGCAGACAGATCACCAAAGGAGTCAGGAATTTTAGACCAGCCTGGCCAATATGATGAAACCCTGTCTCTACTAAAAACAAAAAATTAGCCAGGTGTGGTGGTGCACCTGTAATCCCAGCTACTCAGGAGGCTGAGGCAGGAGAATCACTTGAACCCAGGAGGCAGAGGTTGTAGTGAGCCGAGATCATGCCACTGCACTCCAGCCTGGGCAGCAAGGGAGTGAGCTCCGTCTGAAAAAAATAAAAACAAAAAACTCAAACTTATAAATCTTCTCCTTTTCACACATAGTTAGTGACTATTGTTACATTTTTATACTCATAAGCCTATCCATTCTTACCTATCCTGTTGACTTCAGTTAAAACTCTCACATGTCATCCTCAGTTTAAGTCCTCCATATAATCCTTGAATTCTCTTAGAATCCTTTGAATTACTTTCCACCCTCCCCCTTCAAACCAAACTTCTCATGTGGTTGCCAGTGACTTCTTCACAAATTTAACCCATTTATGTGGAGGATGTAAATTGTTTTTGTAAAGATCAGACCTTGTAGCTGTGACCTTGAGGCAGAGCTACCACTCCCACAAGCTTAGTGTTCAATAATAGAACACTGGCATTGCCTCCCCCAGCCCAAGTCTTTCCAATGGCTCTCAAATGTCTAAAAGATAAAATCTAAGCTCTTTTGTATGGCACTTAAAATTTATAATTTGGTCTCTGCTTAATACTCCAATCTTATCTTTCATATCTCAGTATCTGACAATACTCAGCATTCACGGGCCCCAACATGCCTAGGCTATCTTACATTTCAAGGCCCTTCCTCCAGTGTTCATATCTGGAATAATTTTTATTTCCAAAAGAGGCCATAACCTTCCAAGAAAAAACTTCATCCTTCAAAAGTCACCCCCTATGAATTTTCTGATATTACCCTACCCCAAAAGAAAGAAAAACGTCCTCCCTCTTTTGTACTTTAACCACTCTGTATATAGTTCTATATATACTTATACTTTTATTTTTACATATGTTCATGTATACAATCTCCCTTTACTAGATAGAGGGTTGTTCCTTGAAGGCAGCAATAGTTTCTGGCATGTAGCATAATGCCTCGAAAGTACTCAATAAACCCTTGGGAAAAATTAGGCATAAAAATGACCAATTCAGATGGGTGCGGTGGCTCATGCCTGCAATCTCAGCACTTTGGGAGGCAGAGGAATTTGAGACCAGCCTGGGCAATATGATGAAACCCTGTCTCTACTAAAAATACAAAAATTAGCCAGGTGGTGGCACATGCCTGTAGTCCCAGCTACTCAGGAGGTTGAGGTGCGAGAATCGTTTGGACACTGGGAGGCGGAGGTTGCAGTGAGCAGAGATCACACCACTGCACTCAGCCTGGGCGACAGAGTGAAACCCTGTCCCAATCAATCAATCAATCACACCAGTTCACACAATAATACTTAGATCAGAGATTCAACTCAATCACTTACTCTCCATTATCATCATACTCGTTCACCAGAGACTTAACATTCGTATGTACCAAATCGGTGAAAATTTATCCCTCAAGTTGCTGGCTGCTTTTAGGAACTCAGAGTGAGCTTCACTGAATAAATCATCGAAAAAAAACCTATACAGAAAATATTAAACACAAGGAAAAGAAGCAATAAATTACTAACAGATAGATATTCCAAACCAAATGGCATTCTATTTTCAAGGGTTTCATTCTATTTTGAGGACTGGGTCTGCTTTGTCATGACTACCTCAGACAGGCACAATATTTAGGATGAGAATTTTCCCTCTACCCTTTATGGACACATTTCTTGAGAGAGCCAAGGGAGAAAATTTGTCAGTGTTCAAGTCTTCATTCTACTTCCCATAATTGAACAAATTCGGCCAAACTGCTTAGCAAGAGTTTCAGGTATCAGAAGGATACTGTAACTATGACTATAAACCCACTTCACCCAATTTTTTTCTTTCTCTATATTTGTCTTTAGAACTACTCATTTAGAAAAGTGACTAAAACATAAATGTTTAATGAATACATGCTAACTCCTTGTAAAATAAAAAGAATCAGTAAAATTTAGATGATAAAAAGTGGCTTTTGGCCAAATTTAAACAGTAAACCATATTCTGCTGCCAGAAAGTCAGCATTTTTTGTTGTTTTTTGTTTTGCGACAAGTTTTGCTCTTGTTGCCCAGGCTGAGTGCAATGGCGTGATCTTTGGCTCACCCCAGCCTCTGCCTCCTGGGTTCAAGCGATTCTCCTGCCTTAGCCTCCCGAGTAGCTGGGATTACAGGCATGTGCCACCATGCCCAACTAAGGACCTCTCCATGTTGGTCAGGCTGGTTTAGAACTCCTGACCTCAAGGTGATTTGCCCTTCCAGCCTCCCAAAGTGCTGGGATTGGCGTGAGCCGCGCCTTAAAGTCAGTTTATTAATTAGAGACAAGAGAAGCACAAACCGCAAGCACTACGTTTTTATTTATTTTAGTCAAATATATCATATATCACATTTAAAAAACGAAACAATGAACATCTAAGATGCAGAAAGTGTTTAACTTATACTCATATCATTTAAAAATGAGATATTGCAACACATGAGAAAGCAATGAATGCTGCAAAAACAAGACAAATCCTAGCAATCTGATTTTAACGAGTTCCTAATTATTGTGAAAATAGCAGAGTTTTACTATTTACTTGTATCTTCGACCTTAAAAACCTTATTTTCAGTCCTTATATGTACATAACTGTAGTAGATTACAGTAATTGCCTAACCCAATTCTGTCAGTTGCCTTTCAACTACCCCAAGGTTCCTTAACTGCTTTAATTCTGTGGCTTTCCCAGACATGGAGGGTTTTGGAAACCAAGTTGATGATTCTGTGGCATGGTTTAGTATTTGCTACTTACCTACTACAGATGCATCTTTATCACTAATGAATTTCTTAAATTCTTCCTCAGTCCTGAGAGGCACTGAAGCTGGTCCTGCCTGCTTCTTCAGGTGGCTGACAATTCCATCTTAGAAGTCAAAATAAAGAAGTTGTAACAACACAACTTATTTATAATTTTAGAGAAGGCAATTATTCATGATTCCAAAATTCAGAAGGCACAAAAGGGTATATGGCCAGAGAATTTTCTTTTGCACCTTGTCCCTAGTCACCCAGTTTCCTCCTTATAAGATTTCAGTTACTTTTTTTTTTTTTTTGAGACGGAGTCTTACTCTGTCGCCCAGGCTGGAATGCAGTGGTGCAATCTCAGCTCACTGCAAGCTCTGCCTCCCATGTTCATGCCATTCTCCTGCCTCAGCCTCCCGAGTAGCTGGGACTACAGGCACCCATCACCACGTCCACCTAATTTTTTTTTTTTTTTTTGAGACGGAGTCTTGCTCTGTCGCCCAGGCTGGAGGGCAGTGGCCGGATCTCAGCTCACTGCAAGCTCCGCCTCCCGGGTTCACGCCATTCTCCTGTCTCAGCCTCCCGAGTAGCTGGGACTACAGGCGCCCGCCACCTCGCCCGGCTAGTTTTTTGTATTTTTAGTAGAGACAGGGTTTCACCGTGTTAGCTAGGATGGTCTTGATCTCCTGACCTCGTGATCCGCCTGTCTCGGCCTCCCAAAGTGCTGGGATTACAGGCTTGAGCCACCGCGCCCGGCCTTTTTTTTTTTTTTTTTTGAGACGGAGTCTTGCTCTGTCGCCCAGGCTGCAGGGTGTGGTAGCCGGATCTCAGCTCACTGCAAGCTCCACCTCCTGGGTTCGCCATTCTCCTGCCTCAGCCTCCGGAGTAGCTGGGACTACAGGCGCCCGCCACCTTGCCTGGCTAGTTTTTGTATTTTTAGTAGAGACGGGGTTTCACCGTGTTAACCAGGATGGTCTCGATCTCCTGACCTCGCGATCTGCCCATCTCGGCCTCCCAAAGTGCTGGGATTACAGGCTTGAGCCACGCGCCCCGGCCTTTTTTGTATTTTTTTTAGAGAGACAGGGTTTCACCGTGTTAGCCAGGATGTTCTCAATCTCCTGACCTCATGATCCACCTGCCTTGGCCTCCCAAAGTGCTGGGTGGGATTACAGGCGTGAGCCACTGCGCCCAGCCAAGATTTCAGTTTCTTGTATATCCTTCCAGACATTTTATGCATAAACAGGCAATTATATATAAAGAGCTACTTCAACCTTTTATTACAGTGGCATAGCATTTTTATTATTGTTTTAAAAAGTTTTTTTTTTTTTTTTATTTTTTTTTTTTTTTTTAACAGAAACATTGTTTACAATGCATAGTGTTTCACTATAAAAGTGTCACGGTTTAACCAGACACAACTGCAAAATTGATGGACATTTGTTTCCAATTTTTTTTTTTTTTCTGAGACAGGATCTCCTTTTGTCACTCAGGCTGGAGTCCAGTGGCATGATCATTGCTCACTGCAGCCTCGACCTCCCAGGAAGGTCAATCAGATCTCTCTCCTCAGTCTCCTGAGTAGCTGGGCCTACAGGCATGCACTATCACACCTGGCTAGCTTTTTGTATTTTTATAGAGACGGGGTCTCACTATGTTGCCCAGGACAGCCTCCAACTACTAGGCTCAAGTGATCCACCTGCCTCAGCTTCCCAAAGTGCTAGGATTCAGGCATAAGCCTTGTTAAACCATTTTTTTTGTTGTTTGATTGTTTGAGACGCAGTTTCACCCTTGTCACCCAGGCTGCAATGCAATGGCGCGACTGCAACATTGGCTCACTGCAACATCCGCCTCCTGGGTTCAAGCGATTCTCCTGCCTCAGCCTCCCGAGTAGCTGGAATTACAGGCGCCTGCCACCACGCCCAGCTGATTTTTTGTATTTTTAGTAGAGACAGGGTTTCACTATGTTGGCTGGCCAGGCTGGTCTTGAACTCCTGACCTCGTGATCTGCCCACCTTGACCTCCCAAAGTCCTGGGATTACACACATGAGCCACCATGCCCGGCCCTAGTTAACCATTTTTTTTTTTTTTTTTTTTTTTGAGACGGAGTCTTGCTCTGTCGCCCAGGCTGGAGTGCAGTGGCCCGATCTCAGCTCACTGCAAGCTCCGCCTCCCCGGTTCACGCCATTCTCCTGCCTCAGCCTCCCGAGTAGCTGGGACTACAGGCGCCCGCCACCGCGCCCGGCTAGTTTTTTGTATTTTTTAGTAGAGACGGGGTTTCACCATGTTAGCCAGGATGGTCTCGATCTCCTGACCTCGTGATCCGCCCGTCTCGGCCTCCCAAAGTGCTAGGATTACAGGCTTGAGCCACCGCGCCTGGCCTAGTTAACCATTTTTAAACATACAATTCTGTATACTATTTGTGCTACCTCATGTAAGTGGAATCACATAGCAGCATGTAGTCAGAATTTTCTTCTTTAAGGCTGAATAATCTTCCACTGGATGAATATACCATATTTTGTTTACTATTCATTCACTGATAGACACCTGGGTTTCTTCTAACTTTTGGCTACTATGAATAATGCTGCTGTGGATATAGGTGTACAACTATCTTCTTTTGGGTATACAATAAGTCCTCACTTAACATTATTCTTATGTTCTCAGAAACTGCAACTTCAAGAGAAAGAATGCACAGCAAGTCCTAGAATAACACTGTTTCCTATAACACTGATGAGGAAAAAAAACACCAAGTTTTGTTATAGATTGTTTCACTTAAAAGTTACAGCTTCCAAGAATCTATTGATAACATTAAGTGAGGACTTAATGTATACTCAGAAGTGGGTATACAGAAGCTGGATCATATATATGGTAATTTTATTTTTATTTTTATTTTTTTTGAGACAGGGTCTCACTCTGTCACCCAGGCTGGAGTGCAGTGGTGTGTGATCTCAGCTCACTGCAACCTCCACCTCCCAGGTTCAAGCAGAATTCTCCTGCCTTAGCCTCTCAAGTAGCTAGGACTACACGTGTGCACCACCACACCCAGCTAATTTTTGTATTTTTTGGTGGAGACGGGGTTTCACCATGTTGGCCAGGCTGGTCTTGAACTCCTGACCTCAAGTGATCTACCTACCTTGGCTTCCCAAAGAGCTGGGATTACAGTCATGAGCTACCGCACCTGGCCTTCCATTTTTATTTTTATTTATTTTTATTTTTTTATTTTTGGAGACAGAGTCTTGCTTTGTTCCCCAGGCTGGAGTGCAGTGGCCTGATCTCGACTCACTACAATCTCCGCCTCCCGGGTTCAAGCGATCCTTCTGCCTCAGCCTCCCAAGTAGCTGGAATTACAAGTGTGCGCCATCACACCCAGCTAATTTTTGTATTTTTAGTAGAGTAAGGGTTTCATCATGTTGTCCCGGCTGGTCTCAAACTCCTGACCTCAAATGATCCGCCTGCCTTGGCCTCCCAAAGTCCTGGGATCATAGGCATGAGCCACCATGCCCGGCGCTATTTTTAATTTTTAAAGGAACTACCATACTGTGTTTTCCATAGCGGTTGTCCCAGTTTACATTCCTAATAGTGCACAAAGTTTCCAATTTCTCTACATCCACACCAACACTGGCTATTTTGTTGTTTTTTAGGTGTGTGAGTGAGATGGAGTTTTGCTCTTGTTGCCCAGGCTGGAGTGCAATGGCACAATCTCGGCTCACCACAACCTCCGCCTCTCAGGTTCAAACGATTCTCCTGCCTCAGCCTCCCGAGTAGCTGGGATTACAGGCATGCGCCACCACGCCTGGCTAATTTTGTATTTTTAGTAGAGATAGGGTTTCCCCATGTTGGTTGACTGGTCTCGAACTCACGACCTCAGGTGATCCGCCAGCCTTGGCCTCCCAAAGTGCTGGGATTACAGGTGTGAGCCACCGCGCCCAGCCTATTTTATTATTTTTTTTAATAGTAGCCATCCTAATGGGTATGAGATGGTTATCCATATATATATATGGAGACACATACGCCTTTTTTTTTTTTTTGATGGAGATGGGAGTCTCACTCTGTTGCCCAGGCTGGAGGGCTGTGGCACGATCTCGGCCCACTGCAACCTCCGCCTCCCGGGTTCAAGCGATTCTCCTGCCTCAGCCTCCCGAGTAGCTGGGATTACAGGCGTGTGCCACCATGCCCAGCGCCAATTTTTGTATTTTTAGTAGAAATGGAGTTTCACCATGCTGGCCAGGCCGGTCTCAAATTCCTGACCTTGTGATCTGCCCACCTCAGCCTCCCAAAGTGCTGGGATTACAGGTGTGGGCTGGGCACAGTGGCCTGGCCCACACTTTTTATTAGAGATGGGGACTGACTTATATTGCCCAGGCTGTGCTCAAGAGAGCCTCTCACTTCAGCCTCCTGAATAGCTAAGACTATAGGTACATACGTGCCACTGCACCCAGCTCATCTATATTTTTAAAACTTGTTTGTTGCCTTCTTCCCCTCATCCCCCAGAATGTAAGCTTCACAAGAGTAGGGACCTTGTCTGTTTTATCAATAAATACCAACTACCTAGTATATTTAGAATATCTGGCATATTCTAAATATGCCATTACAAATACTCAATAAATATTTGTAAAATGAAAAAATGTCGAGCTGACCTTATAAATCAAGTTTGTGTATTTTCTATATTACTTATATAATCTGTTCATTTAGAGAGGTCTTTTGTTACCACCAAACTAACTGACCTTTTAGATGAGGAATTTTTAAGACTGAAAGTACACTGTGTAGAAAAACACATTTTTATGTTTCCACTACAAAGAATAAAGTACTTAACATTAGTTTCCAGAATGTAATTCAGGATCCTTACCAGCAGTCCTAGGTCCATCATAAGCACCTGCTTCTTCACCATCTCTAAATATCTTCAGGGTTGGATATCCACTGACTCCGTATTTATTACAGGTGTTAGTGTTGGCAGTGCAATCAACCTAAAGATCAAAATACACAAACTATTTTCTTAGCCAAGTATCTGCTGCAGGTTCCTCCTATATTCTCAAAATAATAGGATTAGTCAAATCCTAAGGGGATCAAGGAATTCTTGACATACATGCCATAGAACATTAGATTTTAAAGGCAGACTGGAGCTTGCCTAACTACATCAGAACTGCCTAAGGAATTCTTTAAAACTGAGATTCCTGGGCCTCACATAATATGCAAAAGTTACTGTTTAAATTCTGCTCTTGGAGTCTCTATTAGCTAAAGCAGTGGTCTTCATCTTTTTTCTGCCTCAGAACACATGAGGGATAAATCACTTAAATTATTAACAGTGGCTTACTTTGATTACGACTATCATCAAGGGGATATATAGATAGAGGTACATATCCTTTAGGTGGAATATAATTTGATTTTGCAAATCACCTAGAGCTAGTATCAAAGGTACCAATACTTGTACATGTTCCCTGAGCTAGTTGGAATCTGGGCTATACCATAACATAACAGATCTAGTGAGACCTATCAGGAAGAAGGAAAATAATTTCCTGGAATGAGTCACTTACTCCAACCCAGGTACGAGTACTTTGCATATATTATCTCATTTAATCTCCACAAGATTCTGAAGTATGATCCTTATGCTCTAAGATGGGTAAACTGAGATCCAGAAAATTAACGTGTCTATAGTCACACAGGTAGGAATTGTGATTGCATCTTTCTTTTTTTTTTTTTTTTGAGACAGTTTCACTCATTGCCCAGGCTGGAGTGCAACAGCGCGAATTCGGCTCACTGCAACCTCCACCCCAAGGGTTAAAGCCATTCTCCTGCCTCAGCCTCCCGAGTAGCTGGGATTACAGGCACCCGCCACCACGCCTGGCTAATTTTTGTAAATTTAGTCGAGATGGGGTTTCACAATGTTGGCCAGGCTGGTCTTGAACTCCAGACCTCAGGAGATCCACCCACCTTGGCCTCCCAAAGTGCTGGGATTACAGGCATGAGCCACAACAGTGCCCGGCTGTGATTAATATTTCTTTTCCTATGGCAAGCAGCTTGATAGGATTAAAAGTAGTTTCCAAAAATAGCCTTATATATGAACTATTTGAGGCTGGCAGAGGTATGAACTTTTAGACTAGAACAACTATGGGTTTACTACAGAATGGCAACATTCTGGAAGCATTACTTTAATTGTAAAAACAAATACAAGTTTACAGTTGACCATTTGGTTACATTTTCATCAATATCTTCATATCATTTTCATATTCCCATCATTGTGATTATCATATGGCAGTTTAGGGACTCATTTACTCATAGATTTTTTTTTTTTTTTTTTTTTTTTGAGATGGAGTCTTGCTCTTTTGCCCAGGCTGGAGTGCAGTGGCATGATCTCAGCTCACTGCAACCCCCGCCCTCCTGGGTTCAAGTGATTGTCCTGTCTCAGCTTTCCAAGTAGCTGGGATTACAGGCACCTGCCACCACACATGGCTAATTTTTGTATTTTTTTAGTAGAGACAGGGTTTCACCATGTTGGCCAGGCTGGTCTTGAACTCCTGACCTCAAGTGATCCGCCCTCCTTAGCCTCCCAAAGTGCTGGGATTACAGGCTTGAGCGACCGTGCCCAGCCTCAATGATTATTTTAGCCTTTACAGCTGTACTTCTGCCTTCCATATTTGACCTTTAATTCTTATTTACCATATACTTTACTACTGTTTTTGTTTTTTTTTTTTGAGACAGGGTTTTGCTCTATTGCCTAGGCTAGAGTGCAATGGCTCAATCACAGCTCACTGCAGCCTCAACCTCTCTGCCTTAAGCAATTCTTCCACCTCAGCCTCTGATTAGCTGGTACTATGGGAGCCTGCCTGTATCTTTAGTAGAGATGGAATTCTGCCATGTTGCCCAGGTTGGTCTCAAACTCCCAGGCTCAAGTGATCTGCTTGCCTTGGCCTCCCAAAGTACTGGGATTGTTTTTTTAAGAGACAGGGTCTTACTCTGTCACCTAGGCTGGAGTCCAGTAGTATGGTCATAGTTCACTGCAGCCTCAAGCAATCCTCCTGCTTCAGCCTTCTGAGAAGGTGGGACTACAGGTGAGCTACCACACCCAGCTTTTTAAATTTTTTGTAGAGATGAGGTCTTGCTTTGTTGCCCAAGCAACAAACTCCTGGCTTCAAGTGATCATCCCAAAGTGCTGGAATTACAGCTGTGAGCCACCACACCTGGTCTATTTTATTTTACTTCTTATGCCAGTAATTTCCTTAGTCTCACTACTTTTAATTTTTTTTTTTTTTTTTTTTGAGACGGAGTCTTGCTCTTTCACCAGGCTGGAGTACAATGGCCCAATCTCAGCTCACTGTAACCTTCATCTCCTGGGTTTAAGCAATTCTCCTGCCTCAGCCTCCTGAGTAGCTCGGACTACAGGCATGTGCCATCACGCCCAGCTAATTTTTGTATTTTTAGTGGAGACAGGGTTTCACCATGTTGGCCAAGATGGTCTCGATCTCTTGACTTCGTGATCCACCCACCTCAGCCTCCCAAAGTGCTGGGATTGCAGGCATAAGCCATTGTGCCCAGCCACTACTTTTAATCCTTTGAAACTAAGTCAGCTGAGTATTTGCCCAGAAACTAGTATTCACTCTTCTTAGCAGAACAAGAGTATAGAAAATGAATGTTAATCTTACAAACTATTTATTACTGTTTTTTTTTCCAAGTAACAAAGCTGAGACAACAAACTACTTTTTAAAATACTTCACATTCGTTAGTGAAGAACCCACCTGTACTTACCTTTGCTAATGGGACTATTCCTTTTAATCTGGTAGCTGCAGCTTCATATTCAGGAGCAAGTCTCTTGCAGTGTCCACACCTATATACATATTAAAAAAGCCAAATTCTCAGTTTAATCCTGCGAATTTGTTAATGTTGTCTCACCAGGAAGAATCTCAAACTATAATATTACCTTTGAGCTAGTAGACACTTCCAAAAGCAAAATCATCACATGAACAACATTCATTATTGTTACAGTAAACCAGAACTCTCAGAAGGTAAAGGTCCTACCTCTAGATTGAGGTTGACTCTATAGTACTGGCTCAACCCAGGGCAGCTTTATTTTCTCAATACAAAGTATAAGTAAGTCATGAAAGCTGTAGTCAAAAGTGTACGCCACGTTATTAAAGAGGGTTAAATGGGTTAATGCCCTTTTGACCAATTAATGAGGCTGAATGAAGGACAAGACAGAAATAATCCCATTTGTGATAGAACTTCCCAGAGGAAAATACAATTCCCTGGAAAACCAGCATTGTGGTTGTTAAAAATTGTGACTTAGGCTCACACGTGTAATCCCAGCACTTTGGGAGGCCAAGGCGAGCAGATCACTTGAGGTCAGGAGTTCAAGACCGGCCTGGCCAACATGGTGAAATCCCATCTCTACTAACAATACAAAAATTAGCCAGGCGTGGTGGTGGGCACCTGTAATCCCAGCTAATCGTGAGGCTGAGGCAGTAGAATCGCTTGAACCTGGGAGGTGGAGGTTGCAGGGAGCTGACATTGCGTCACTGCACTCCATCCTGGGCGACAGAGCAAGACTCTGTCTCAGAGGCGACAAAATTGTGACTGAAACCCTGTAATGTCTCAAGTATGATGTCTTTTAGATGGCAGGCCTGATTTTTACAGCTACACAGCTCACCTGGCCATGAGAACTGATAACAAAACATGTAAACTAGAACACCTTTCCCAGAGGGCCATCAGAAGCACCTGCTCCTCTGCCCAGAAAGTCCTAATCAGTGTATATACAGCCAGCACCAGCTGTACATCACATCTTCAAAAGCCAATGGGTTGCAGAGGGATCACGTTGAGAAGGTGAGTTCTATAACCTCCCCACAGACAGCAAAAATAGAAAGATAATATAATAGAGAAGAAACTTCAGCAGATATATTTCAGTAGTCAATTATGTAATTTTATTAAGTGATGGATGACTTGGAGATATTGTACATCCAAAACTTGTTTAAAATAAAGGACTATAAGAGCTTATTCTCCAAGGTCTTCAAGAGGCCTATTAAAGTATAAAAGAACCAAATGACAAATATCAAATTCAGGATAAAGGAGTGTATAAGATGGTTAAGGGGCGCATAGGGAACTTCAAAGTACTGGCAATGTTTTTCAGACAGAGTGCAAACAAATGGTATTCCTTATGCTGTATTTCACAGATTTATTTTTTTTTCTGAACTTAAGATATGTTTTGCAGTCATGTTATAGTTTCAATGGTAGTATTTCTTTCTCAGTGAGACACAAGATAGTTCCTCTCACAATCAGTGATATAAGATCTTATGTGTGTGAAATAGGGTATTACTCATTATATCCTCTGTATTCCTTTAATATTGCATAGTAAATGTATTTTAAAGGGAGTAACAACTGGATCTGGGTCTTGAAGGATTTAGCGCTTCAGAGAGGAGAGGGCAGGGTATTTAAGATGAGGGAGACAGCAGAGCAAACGTAAAAGAATACCAGTAAGCATGATGCATTCAGAGAACTGTAAAGGGCTCTTTTGAGATAATAAATGTGCGTGCACGTGTACTAACACTACATCAATTAGCAATGTCAAAGACTGACAGAAAGGGAGAAAACAGAGACAAGAATAAAGCCATCTAGAAGATAATATATTTCATATGGCAGACAATAAAAGCTTGTACCAGAGTGGCAGCAATGAGAATAAAGAGACAGAAGAGAGATTTCTGTTGAATATATAGTAGTTGTCAAGGCTGAGGCAACAGATTTATGCGTTAATCGTTTCAACTATCTTCAAACACTTCAAGATAAAAAAATCACATACAATAGTCACAAGGTCAAGCTAGTGGGTGTCAACTCTAGATGCTTATCAAAAATACCCATGGAGCATTAAAACAAAAAAAATAAGCATGGTTTACAGATTGAGAATCTCCAGAAATCTGGGGAGCAACCAGGTGTGTGTGTAAGCTGCAAGGCTGGGACTAAAATCCACTGCCTTAAACTCTGGCAATATCCATAAGCTCATCAAATCCAGAAAAAGAGTTTCAACGAGACGGGAGGAAACTCCCCTCTTCAAATCCACCAGGAATGGAACTCAGGTGGTATTTAAGGGAAATCCAAGTCAGTTAACATAGATCCTTCAAGATTAACCACTACTTCTTTCACCCACCCCTAGAAAATATTAAAACATAATTAATTCTATCTATCCTCAGGGATGGCACCTGGCAGTTGATAATGAATTCCAACATATATTCACCCAATAATCATCACTTCATCATGTGTGCCATGTGTCAAGTGCTTTTTGATAAGTGCCTTATCAAGTGTCTTTGATAAGAAAATTGATCCCAGCCATCCCATTACTGGGTATATACCCAAAGGATTATAAATTATGCTGCTATAAGGACACATGCACACGTATGTTTATTGCAGCACTATTCACAATAGCAAAGACTTGGAATCAACCCAAATGTCCATCAGTGACAGATTGGATTAAGAAAATGTGGCACATATACACCATGGAATACTATGCAGCCATAAAAAAGGATGAGTTTGTGTCCTTTGTAGGGACATGGATGCAGCTGGAAACCATCATTCTTAGCAAACTATCACAAGAACAGAAAACCAAACACCGCATGTTCTCACTCGTAGGTGGGAACTGAACAATGAGATCACTTGGACTTGGGAAGGGGAACATCACACACCGGGGCCTATCATGGGGAGGGGGGAGGGGGGAGGGATTGCACTGGGAGTTATACCTGATGTAAATGACGAGTTGATGGGTGCAGCACACCAACATGGCACAAGTATACATATGTAGCAAACCTGCACGTTGTGCACATGTACCCTACAACTTGAAGTTTAATATTAATAAATTAAAAAAAAATAAAAAAATAAAAAAAAAGAAAAAAAAAAATGGCTTTCCAAACCAAAAAAAAAAAAAAAAGAAAATTGATATAGTCCTTTCCTTATAGGAACACTAGTCTGGCAGGGGTGACAGAGTATTATTAGATGCCAAAGAGAGGCAGGATCAATCAGTTAGTTGTCCAGGGAAGGGAAAAAAAAAATTTGAGCTAAATGCTGATGTTGAAAAGATCAACTGGGGGTGGGGATTACAAGTAAAGAAATTAGCACATATATATACACTTTTTTGAGACGGAGTCTTGCTCTGTCACCCAGGCTGGAGTCCAGTGGCATAGCTCGGCTCACTGCAACCTGTACCTCCCGGGTTCAAGCAATTCTCCTGCCTCAGCCTCCTGAGTAGCTGGGATTACAGGCTCCTGCCACCATGCCTGGCTAATTTTTGTATTTTTAGTAGAGACAAGGTTTCACCATATTGGCCAGGCTGGCCTCAAACTCCTGAACCTCATGATCTGCCTGCCTCGGCCTCCCAAAGTGCTGGGATTACAGGCGTGAGCCTCCGCACCTGGGCATTATTTATTACTACTGCCCTAGAGGGTAGCATACACATCTATAGCATAAATAGATGTTGAGGACTTAATATTAAATATTAACACTGATCAATAAATTTTCAGATATTTTCAAACATTTAAATAATGTTATTTCCCCACAGAAACTGAGATATTCTTATCCTTAGAAATATATAGAAGATTAACTCCATAACGGAAATATTAGTCTACAAAATCAACTGCAAAGAAAGCTTTCACTACGCCAGGCACAGTGGCTCACGCCTGAAATCCCAGCACTTTGGGAGGCCGACGCAGGTGAATCAGGTGAATCAGGTGAAGTCAGGAGTTCAAGACCAGCCTGGCTAACATGGTGAAACCCCATCTCTACTAAAAAAAAACAAACAAAACACACGCACACACAAAAAACAAAAATTAGCCAGATGTGGTGGTGCATGCCTGTAATCCCAGCTACTAGGGAGGCGGAGGCAGGAGAATCACTTGAACCTTGGAGGCAGAGGTTGCAGAGCCAAGATCGCGCCACTGCACTCTAGCCTGGGCAACAGAGACTCTGTCTCAAAAAAAAAAAAAAAAAAAAAAAGCAAGCAAGCAAGCTTTCACCTTTCACTTTCACTTGAAACATGAAAGTGGAAAAAGAACTTGCTTTAATAGGTCTATTTTGTGATGAGAATAAGATTTTTTTTAAAAAGTCCATTTTACTTTCTTTTTTGAGACAGGGTCTCACACTGTCTTTGAGGCTGGAGAGCAGGGGTGCAATCTCAGCTCCCTGCAACCTCCACCTCCCAGGCTCAAGTGATCCTTTCCTCCCACCTCAGCCTCCTGAGTAGCTGGGACTACAGGTGTGTGCTACCACGCCCGGTTAATTTTTGTCCTTTTTTGGTAGAGATGGGGTCTGGCCATGCTGCCCAGGCTGGTCTCTAATCTCACCAGTGCCTCCTAAATTCAAGCGATTTTCCCGACTCAGCCTCCAAAGTAGCTGGGATTACAGATGTGTGCCACCACGCCCAGCTAATTTTTGTATTTTTAGTAGAGATGGGGTTTCACTATGTTGGCCAGGCTGGTCTTGAACTCCTGATCTCAAGTGATCTGCCTGCCTTGGCCTCCCAAACTGCTGGGATTACAGGTCTGCACAACAGGACCAGACCCCATTTTACTCTTACTAAGGATTCTTTAACTATTTCTTGTAAGATAGTACTCCTGAACTGTACAAAGGAATATAGCAGTCAGAAAACATTTCCAGCTGAAATGTTAATAAATAAAAATACCAAGGCCAGGCTAGGTGGCGCAGGCCTGTAATCCCAGCACTTTGGGAGGCCGAGGAGGGTGGATCACCTGAAGTCAGAAGTTCACCACCAGCCTAACATGGTGAAATCCCATCTCTACTAAAATGCAAAAATTAGCCGGGCTTGGTGGTGCATGCCTGTAATCCCAGCTACTCAGGAGGCTGAGGCAGAAGAATCGCTTGAACACGGGAGGTGGAGGTTGCAGTGAGCCCAGATCATGCCACTGCACTCCAGCCTGGGAAACAGAGCGAGACTCTGTCTCAAAACAAACAAACAAACAAACAAAAACTCTGCACGCAGTGGCTCACGCCTGTAATCCCAGCACCTTGGGAGGTCGAGGTGGGCAGATGACCTGAGGTAAGGAGTTTGAGACCAGCCTGGCCAACATGGTGAAATCGCATCTCTACTAAAAATACAAAAAAATTAGCTGGGCATTGTGGCAGGCACCTGTAATCCCAGCTACTCAGGAGGTTGAGGCAGGAGAATCACTTGAACCCAAGAGGCGGAGGTTGCAGTGAGTCGAGATCGTGCCATTGCACTCTAGCCTGGGCAACAAAGCAAGACTCTATCTCAAAAAAAAAAAACTGTAATGGTACGTGAAGAAATAAAGACCTCAAGAGGAGACTTCTTTAACTCCAAATTGCTCATTCAGAAAACTCATCTTCCTTGCTGACATCGCGGAGGATGACTTTTTCTTTTAAACCAATTAAAAGCAGACACCACAGCAGAGATCCACCCAATTCTTGGGATAGTCAGTGCCTGATGGGATATGTAGTTCTTAGGGTAGCACGTGCAACAACTTCAAGCAGGAAAGACCCCTTTCAATTCAAACAAAAAATTCTGTGTTTTTTTTTTGTTTGTTTTTTTGATTTTTTTGAGATGGAGTTTCACTCTTGTTGCCCAGGCTGGAGTGCAATGGCACAATCGTGGCTCACTGCAGCCTCTGCCTCTTGGGTTCAAGCTATTCTCCTCCTCAGTCTCCTGAGTAGCTGGGATTACAGGCATGTGCCACTATGCCCGGCTAATTTTGTATTTCTAGTAGAGACGGGGTTTCTCCACAAAGGTCAGGCTGGTGTCGAACTCCCAACCTCAGGTGATCCGCCCACCTTGGCCTCCCAAAGTGCTGGGATTACAGGCAGGAGCCACTGCGCCCAGACCCAAAATTCCTTTTTTAAATTAATATTCTAGTGGCCCACTATTCTCCAAAAATTCCTACTTTAAATTGTTGCATGACCCCTGTAGTAAAAAGCATCACTCAGATCTGACAAACTCAGTGACACCCCCAGTTTTTACAAATTTAGTGACACCCCCTCAAAGCTAACAGCATGATTATATAATTGGGAAGAGTTGTTCCTAAGAGAGAACATGAGTTCCAGAGATGTATAAGAACTCTCTATATGTGTAATCCGTACTGTCAGCCCCAGAAATGCCCTGGACACAAAATCTGTCCAAGCTGAAAACAAAATTTGCCAACTCTAGCACATCACTTTGATTCAGGTGGTCTTCACTACAGGACTTTTTTTCGTGCAACCGTTAGCTAGCTGATTGAAGCTAAGAAGTAAAGACCTGAGTCTGAAGCAAATAAAAGTTATATACAACTTTTACCGACATTTTTGAACACAGATAGTTTTAAACCAAGGGTCACTGTGCCAGGAGGGGAAAAATTAAGTACTGTAATTATATATATTGAATTATATATAGAAAGCTATCCCAAGGATAAAGGAATCACTGTTTACTCTGGTAATGATCTGGAGGTTTTAAACACACACACACACACACACACACACACCAAAAAAAAAAAAAACCACTCAAGTTGACTGGGCCAGAAATCTTACTTGCTCTTCCTTCTCCCCAACAGATTTTTATTTCGAATTAGTTCTATCTAAGGAGTTTACACCCTTGTTCATTTAAGTCACCCTAAAGTGGAGTATTTAATCAATATTGGTTACTTTCTCATTGGAGTTCTGACATTTTAAAGAAATTCTAATTAAAACGGACAATATGAACAGATTCTGATGGAATTATTCTTGTTCACCTACTCTTTTCTTTTGGACAGAGGTGTCTGCCGGGACTGAGATGTAAGTGATCAGCTGAAGGGAGAAATTGTACACCATGTGACGGACAAATTACCTGACTCAAGAAAGTAGTTATGACCATTCTGCAGCCACTCAGTGACCTTGGCTAGAAACCAATGGCTGTGCAGTGTGGGGTAAGAGGAAAGTAAATACCCTAGGGATCCAGGACTTGTGCATTTGGTGAAACGTCCGCTTCCACTACAAGGCTTTGGGATGTCTAGTCTGTAGACTGGAGAAACGTTAATACTGACTCACGCAGAAACGATATAGCTACACACTGAACTGGGGGAAGGGGTGGCTAAACCCTCTGCAAATAGGAAGTGCCGCAAGAGCACTAGGATGAGGATGAGGCCCTGCGTGAGCGCAGCCTTCGGGTTTTCCTTCTACCGATCAGCACCGACTCCCCCGCTCTCCGCGAGGCGCCTCCAGCCCCCGGTAATGAGAAATGTGCCCGCCGCAGCAGGGGCCCACAGGAACGAAGGGCGCCGGCGCTGCGTAGGCCCAACAGTTCCCCCGCGCCCTTGCCCCCGGCCCAGCCCGGCCCTTCTTCCCCCGTCCCGGCAGAATGGACTCACCAGGGGGCGAAGAACTCCACAAGCATGAGGCCCGCAGAGCCCGTGTCGGAGACGCGACTCTCGAAGTTGTCGTCCGTGAGTTCTAGCACATCGGAGGCAGCGGCGAGGCGGGCCGCGGCGAGAAGCAGCGCCACGCCCGGGAATAGCGCAAGGCGGCGAAGGCGCATGGCGGCGAGGTGGGGTGGAGGCGGCCGGAAGGGTCGCGGCTCGACTAGGACTGCGGAGGTCGTGCGCGCGACCACACACCGGCTGCCTGCGCTCGCGCGTCTGGCCCAGGCGGACCTGCAGCCGGAGGTCCCAACCCCCAAGCCCGGCTCGGGCCGCTGTGTGGCAGCCACCGATTGGCTGCGCGGCGCCTGCGTCGGGCGGGCGGGACCAGCTGGTAACCGCCGAGTGGCCGGAGTACGGGGCGGGGCCGAGGCGGCCAGTGGCTGGGAGAGCGTGGCTGGGCCCGGTCTTAGGCAGGGGGCAGGGGCTAGGGCCGGGTCCCGGGGTGAGCCGAAACCTGGGGGTCGGGCGGGGCGGGGAATGGGGCGCAGTGAGGCTGGGAGCCGGTCCTGAGCTCGTCCTGCGTAGGGGTAGCCGGGCCCAGGGGGCGCCTGAGCTGGAGGCGGAAGCGTGAAGTCGGGACTGAGTGGGCGAAGAGAAACTGGGCTGAGGTGAGGCCCAGAAGCGATAATGGAGGAGAGAAGGAGCTAGCCCCCGAAGGAGTGTTGGGATGGACACACCTGGGACGGGACCCATTTTCAAAATGTCAGGCTGTTGCATTTTGTCCAATTTCTTTTCACTTGGTTTCTCTTTCGTGGGCAGGCCAAGTCCTCCCCGAACTCCACCTCGTTGCCCGATTCTCTCAGGCCCAGGTGGGGCCCAGATTCTTCTTTGTCCTGCCCCGGTCCCCTACCCTTGTGGCTGCTGCTTTTTTATTGAGGTGTTTTTGTTTGTTTTGTTTTGTTTTTAATTAGAAATGCCGTCGCAAAGTGAAGATGCCTGGCCACTTGGTCGACAGCACAATGTCTTTACCACTCTTAGCCCCTTTTGTTTCAACAAACCCCGAGTCTTAGTGCAATGTTGTTCTTCCCAACTGCTCCTGGTTCCTAAATGTGGGTACATTAAGGAATCTTAAGGGCAAAGACGGTGGGGTGGAGGGGACAGAAAACCTGTAATCTTTGGTGCAACTCCAAGAATGAAATGACACTAGATGCTTACATTTTCTTAGCAGACATGGCCACTTACCACCAAGAAGGGCAGATGCAGCTGCCCCGAGCTGATGCCATTCGTTCACGTCTCATCGATACTTTCTCTCTCATCGAGCATTTGCAAGGCTTGAGCCAAGCTGTGCCGCGGCACACTATCAGGGAGTTACTCGGTCAGCAGCCTATTTCTTCACTAATTTAAATTTAAGACTCCTATGCACATCCTCTACATTTAAGAGTGGAAAATTCTGGGAGGTCGGTTTAGTTGCTGGTTTACCAAACTTGATAAATCAAGGGCTTATAAATAAAACTGAGGAGATAGAATCCATGTCTTTCACTTTTAGGCCTAGGATAGCCACTAGCCATGGGTGATTCGGAAAAGTTTCTGTCAAAGACACTTAAGACTTTGTGAACCTATTGCTTTTGTGGGCATGGACAGTGTTGATCATAAGAAGTACATTTTCTCTCACTCCAAACAGAATTCTTAGTTGCTGTGAGAAGAGAAGGACCAGCAGTAAGGCATTAGGGAGACCCATTATCTGACCAATATCCCTGCCCCCCAACCCTACCTGCTCTATTTTCTTTGTCTTTATCCACTATCCCTTTTTAATTTTTGTTGTAGATCCTTCCTGCCAAAAGAAACTTACGTTGGGAGATCAACACCAGCTAGTGCACTTCTCTATAAAGCCTCAATATATAGGACGGATTTCACATGCCCAGAGGCTGTTGAGCAGGCTTCATGTGCGCCGCAGTCAGAGGCCACCTCTTTCTTTGTGGGTCGGATGGGTCCTTGAGTGTATCCTTTCACATCACTCATTTTTGTCCTGGCTGTTGATGATCTGCCTAATGACTTATTTTTTGCTCCCCAAACTCCATTTTCTCATTCTCACCGCTTATGTTATTACCCTTATTATTTAAGCTGCATAAATCAGAAAGAACTCCACTCTATACATTTCCTTAAGAGACAACAGGTCCTCTCTTCAAAAATTTCATCATCTTCCTGATCTTTTTGAATACTATCGTATTGATGGTTGAAATAGGTGAGAACTGACATTGTATGAAAGAGGAAGTGAGGCCAGGCACGACAGCTCACACGTGTAATCCTAGCTAGCACTTTGGGAGGCGGAGGCGGGCAGATTGCTGGAGCTCAGGAGTTCAAGACCAGCCTGGGCAACATGGTGAAACCCTGTCTCTACTAAAAAATTACAAAAAATTAGCCGGGCGTGGTGGCACAGCCTGCAGTCCCACCTACTCAAGACTTGTCTGAGTCAGGAGAATCCCTTCAACCCAGGAGGCGGAGGTTTCAGTGAGCAGAGATAATGCCACTGCATTCCAGCCTGGGCGACAGAGTACAACTCTGTCTCAAGAAAAAAAAAAAAAAAAAGGAAAAGGAAGTGGGTAGGAATAATTTTTTTTTCTAAATTGATCATTTTACATTTTTGAATGTCATTTGAATTGTGACATTTATATTAAGGACAATTATATTAAAAGCCTCCTAGAGTAGGATTTATACAACTGCTAAAATCTAGAAATATTGGCTGGGCACAGTAGCTCACACCTGTAATCTCAGCACTTTGTGAGGCCGAGGTGGTTGGATAACTTGAGGTCAGGAATTCAAGACCAGCCTGGTCAACATGACGAAACCCCATCTCTACTAAAAATACAAAAAATTAGCTGGGTGTGGTGGCGGGCAACTGTAATCCCAGCTACTCAGGAGGCTGAGGCAGGAGAACGCTTGATCCTGGGAGGCGGAGGTTGCAGTGAGCTGAAATCACACCACTGCACCCCATCTCAAAAAAAAAAAAAAAAGAAATATTAATATTTGGAGGGCTCTCAAAAGTATACTAGATATGGAGCATCTAGACACATAAAACTAGGTGTAATATGTAGCAATGTAACAAATCCACAAGGAACTGAACTTAGGAAGACCACTTTTATTTCTGTTGTGAGTTTAGCCTGACATTTGTTTGAATTAATGTTTTCTGTTAAAGATACTGGTGCCTATCGGTGAATGATCTAACATTTACATTTCTTTTTTTTTTTTTTTTTTGAGACGGAGTCTTGCTCTGTTGCCCAGGCTGGAGTGCAGTGGTGCGATCTCAGCTCACTGCAAGGTCTGCCTCCTGGGTTCATGCCATTCTTCTGCCTCAGCCTCCCTAGTAGCTGGGACTACAGGCACCCACCACCACACCCAGCTAATTTTTTGTATTTTTTAGTACAGACAGGGTTTCTTTTTTTTTTTTCTTTCTTTCTTTTTTTTTTTTGAGACGGAGTCTGGCTCTGTCTCCCAGGCTGGGGTGCAGCGGCCAGATCTCAACTCACTGCAAGCTCCGCCTCCTGGGTTTACGCCATTCTCCTGCCTCAGCCTCCCAAGTAGCTGGAACTACAGGGCCCGCCACCTCGCCCAGCTAGTTTTTTTTGTATTTTTAGTAGAGACGGGGTTTCACCGTGTTAGCTAGGATGGTCTCGATCTCCTGACCTCGTGATCCGCCATCTCGGCCTCCCAAAGTGCTGGGATTACAGGCTTGAGCCACCGCACCCAGCCAGAGATGGGGTTTCACTGTGTTAGTTAGGATGGTCTCAATCTCCTGACCTCGTCATCCGTCCGCCTCGGCCTCCCAGAGTGCTGGGATTATAGACGTGAGCCACCGCACCCGGCCTAACATTTACATTTTTACAAGTATATTTAGAAGATTATTTAAGTACAAATAAGAAAGCTCACAAAGTATGAAAAGATAGGTACAACTAAGATATTAGCTGAGCCAAAAAAAATTACTTAAAATGATTCTTAAACCAATAATAAATTATATGAAAATTATTCAAAACATAAGGATGTCTGCAAAATCAGTGAGCTCATTTGTTGATAATCTCAAACTGCTCAGAAATGATGAAAGGACAGTAGAACTACTCATTTGTATCATTTTCACTCTTGTGGGGAATTCTCCCACTTTATTTTTTAGAGGCAGAGTCTCATTTTGTTGCTTAGGTTGGAGCGCAGTGGTGTGATCATGGCTCGTTGCAGCCTTGCCCCTCAGGGCTCAATTGATCCTTCCACCTCAGCCTTCTGAGTAGCTTGGAGTACAAGTGCGTGCCACTACACCAGGCTAATTATGTTGATTTTTTTTTTTTTTTTTTTTGTAGAGACAGGATCTCACTATGCTGCATAGGCTGGTCATGAACTCCTGGGCTCAAAAGATCCTCATGCCTCAGCCTCCCAAAGTGCTGGGATTACAGGCATGAGTCACCACGTCCAACCTAGGGGGAATATTTAAGAGAAGGGCATAGTTATGAAGCTCTTGGCTGTTTATGTCACACAGATATTTCCTCAACAGAAATGTCCAGTGCCTGTAGCCAGTTCAGAACTCTGCCTCTAGGTCCAAGTCCCCTACAAGTTTATCTCTGGGGCCCAGGCATGGTGGTTCATGCCTGTAATCCCAGCACTTTGGGAGGCTGAGGCAGGAGGATCGCTTGAGCTCAGGAGTTTGAGACCAGCCTGGCTAATGTGGAGAAACCTCATCTCTACAAAAAATACAAAAATTAGCTAGGCATGGTGACACATGCCTGTAGTCCCAGCTACTCAGCAGGCTGAGGTGGGAGGATCGCTTGAGCCTGGGAGGCGGAGGTTGCAGTGAGCCATCGTGCAGCTGAACTCCAGCCTAGGTGACAAAGTGACACCCTGTCTCAAAAAAATAAGATAGTCCTTTAGTGTAGTGAGGTCCAAGATATTTAAATATACAACAATAATTGATGTCACTGACCCAGTACAGTATACTATATACTTTGAGGTGTTTTATTTCTTCCTCATAATGTTGAAGATTCTGAACTAAGTCACTTATAATTGCCTTTTATTGTATGATTGCTGCCATGTGTTTGCCTTGTATGGCTAGCATTATAGTCCTAAGCCTTGGAATGAAGTAAGTAATAGTAAATATACAGGATTCCCTAGATCAGTGGTCCCCAGCCTTTTTGGCATCAGGGACTGGTTTCTTGGAAGACAGTTTTTCCATGGATGGGGTAGGAGGGATGATTTCAGGATGAAGCTGTTCCCCCTCAGATCATCAGGCATTAGATTCTTCTAAGGGTCACGCACATGCAGTTTACAATAGGGCTTGCACTCCTGTGAGAATTAAATGCTGCAGCTGATCTGACAGGAGATGGAGCTCAGGTGGTAATGCTCACTCACTCACCACTCGCTTCCTGCTGCATGGCCGAGCTCCTGACAGACCATGGACTGGTACCAGTCAGTAGCCTGGGGCTTGGGACCCCTGCCCTAGATCTAATAGACAAATCAAAATAGAATAGCACTAACCATTCTATTTGGTAAAACAGTTAACTGAGTATGCAACATGATCACTGTGCCAGAGGATAAGTAGATTGCCAGACTGGAAATTACCTGTCAAGCTCATGGAAATTTTATCTTATTAAGCTTATTCTTGTGGTAGAGAGGGAGGAGGGATTTTGCAAAGGGAAATGATTTGTGATTAACAGATTTCTTTGAACAGACTAATTCATATGATAAACATTAAGACTTTTTTAGGCTTAGAATTTTTTTTTCCAGATCGTAAAGTGATCTAAACTGTTAGGGCTTTAAAAAATCTACTTCCACAGCTGGATATTGGTAATTCTGTTTTGTACTTTAAGCATCAATTGGCGTATTTTTAAAATCTCATATTTTGTTTCTAAATAATGAGAAAGAAAAAAAGATTTGACTCATTTGCAAGCCTTTGTCAGAAAATAACACATCGCAAGTGTAGACAATCCTTACTTAAAATTAAAAACTGAGCGTATTGGGAGGCTGAGGTGGAAGGATCACTTGAGCCCAGGAGATTGAGGCTGCAGTGAGCTATGATCTCACCAGTGTACTACAGCCAGGTTGACAGAGCAAGACCCTGTCTCAAAAATAAAATAAAACCTAAGTATAATATCATTACAATTTTTTCCCAAAGGTGGGCATATTCCTGAAGGTGACCATTTTTTCATTGACTTTTAAAGTCCTAGAGATGGCTTGATGTGCTATATAAAGTTTTTGGTCAAATGAATGGAATATATAGAATCTGATGAAGATCATCTTGAGATTACACTTGCAGAATTATCATTCTTTTTTTGTATTTCTGTTTGGTTTTTTTGAGACGGAGTCTTGCTCTCTCTCCCAGGCTGGAGTACAGTGGTGCAATCTCCGCTCATTGCAAGCTGCACCACCCCCGGGTTCACGCCATTCTCCTGCCTCAGCCTCCTGAGTAGCTGGGACTACAGGCGCCTGCCACCATGCCTTGCTAAGTTTTTATATTTTTAGTAGAGACGGGGTTTCACCATGTTAGCCAGGATGGTCTCGATCTCCTGACTTCGTGATCTGCTTGCCTCGGCCTCCCAAAGTGCTGGGATTATAGGCATGAGCCACCGCGCCGGGCCAGAATTATCATTTTTAATGCTCTCCGTGAAATTGTATTTCTGGCTGGGCGTGTGGCTCATGCCTGTAATCCCAACAATTTGGGAGGCCTAGTCCTGCGGATCACTTGAGGTCGGGAGTTCAAGACCAACCTGGCCAACATGGTGAAACCCCATCTCTACTAAAAATACAAGAATCAGTGGGTATCATGATGTGTACCTACGGTCCCAGTTTCTCAGGAGGCTGAGGCAGGAGAATCGCTTGAATCCAGGAGGCGGAGTCTGTAGTGAGCCGAGATAACAGCTGGGCAACAGAGTGAGTGAGAATCCATTTCAAAAGAAAAAAAGAAATTATGTTTCAACATCAGTGTTCCTTGCTTCATGATAGATATAACTGGCCAAAACATTACTAAAAATATTAAAACTGTGTAAATGTCAAAATCTACATATCAGTTTGTTGTTATAGTGTACTTTTCTCACCTATAATATTGGACTCCTTGAAACCAATGTGAATTTACCTGCTATTCTGTGAGGTGACCTACTGTTGTTTTTCTAGAATAGGGAGTAGAAATAGATGACTGTTCATGGTGAACTTTACCCTGTAAAGCAGAATTATATATTTAGCTGACTTGCTTGATCCAATGGCTACTGTCTATCACCCTGAGAAGAATATTCAAGCATAGATGTTCACTGCTGCTTCACTACACTGGCTAAGATTCCTGGGTAGACTTCACTGGGCTCCTGGTCTCTATTTCCATTAAGACTCCTTTGCCTTGCTATAGCAGCCTGAAAAATTCCAAGAATTTTAGAAAGTTGTTTTTCATCTTCAGAGAGGACACATTACTTGATGTAGAGTGGAGGCAGTCACTTTTGCATATTCTGTGCTGCTGAGGCAATTTCTGCTATTCATTCCTCTGACCTTCCTTGGGTTCGTTTAGTTTCTATGAAAGTATTCCTTTTTCCAGAGGGTAAAAGTGCTACTGCCTCTGTAATTTGGACTTCCCTACTTAAACTATTTTAAGGTACTTAAAACTATCTTCTGCTTCACAAGAGCCTTATTTTACTTCATTTCTTTCTTTGGGTTCCTGTTTTACAAGGGCAAAAACTGAATAAAAATGATAGCATTCTATTTTCCAGCCACAAATGTGGTGCTCAGCTCTTTCTAATTATATAATCCCATGCTCCTGAGAGCTAGAATTTATTAAGTGAAAAAATGTTGTATATTATTGATTCTAAGCTGTCATCAATGGTGAAATTCACTATTTACCACTAAGAAGTAAAACTCATGCCCAATTAAACTGGGACACATCGCTGTGTACAATGCATCCTTACTTTGGGAGGCCAAGGCGGGCAGATCACGAGGTCCAGAGATGGAGACCATTCTGGCCAACGTGGTGAAACCCCGTCTCTACCAAAAATACAAAAATTAGCTGCGCATGGTGGCGCATGCCTGTAGTCCCAGCTACTCAGGAGACTGAGGCAGGAGAATCGCTTGAACTGGGAGGCGGAGGTTGCAGTGAGCTGAGATTGCACCACTGCACTCCAGCCTGGCAACAGAGCGAGACTCCATCTCAAAAAAAAAAAAAAAAAGAAGCATCCTAATTTCATATATGTTAAAATGTGAAAAATTGTCCATCTTAGAGAAACGTGGGAGAAAGGAAAATTTATGGAAGAATCACAGAGCCTAAATAAGCATAGGAGTGCTGGGTGCAGTGGTTCACGCCTATAACCCCAGCACTTTGAGAGACCAAGGTGGGAGGATCACTGGAGCCCAGGAGTTTGAGGCCAACCTGGGCAGCATAGGGAGACCCCATCTCTACAAGTAATGTAAAGAAAAAATTAGCTAGGCATGGTGACATGTGCCTGTGGTTCCAGTTACCCAGAGGCTCTTGAGCCCAGAAGATCGAGGCTTCAATGAACCGTGATTATGCCACTGCACTCCTCCAGCCTGGGTGACAGAGTGAGACTCTGTCTCAAAATAAGCATAGGAATAAGTATAACATAACTCCATTGGTTTTTAGAAGGGGCCAGCCTCTGTAAAATTCTAGGGGTGATTGAAGTATGACTCTGTTCTTTTTGTCTGGATCCAGTTCAGCATCAGGATGACTTTAAAGCCAGAGCACCACAATGTTGATTTCTATTTAGCTCTTAAGCCTATTTTAATCTCAGTGTTTTTTTTTTTTCTAGAACGTGGCATACATCCATTAATTATATAAAAGAGATGAAGGAGGTTGAAAGAGAAAGGCAATGAATTAAGGAATAGCAATTCGTAAATAATAGGGTTCTAGAGAGGAAGTATGCATTCAATTTGCTTTGCAGAACAAACCAATTTTAGACAGGGAAGAAAGGAAAAGTTTTAAAAGGACGCTAACAGAACCAGGTGATTTATTGTTATAATTCGATATTCCCCAATGATTCTGGCTTGTTTCTGCATTCGTTATAAAGTACTTCAGATCTCATGGCCCTGTATTTTCATTCTGTTCTCAAGACCCATTGTTTTCTTGTGAACTTTGGAACTGAGATAACAGTGCAGTAGATGGGGGTGGAGGGTTGGAGGTAGGGGTAATTAAAGAGAGTATTCTCTTAGTGGCTGTGTGACCCCCACAGTGGATAGGAAGTGACTTGTAGCTGGGCAGACATAACTATATCAACAGATTAGTTGTGGCTATGTTTTATGGTCAATTCTGTCCTTCCCTGTATTTCACAGGTTGAAGCAACAATGTTAAGAAGAGAAACTCAAAAAGAAAAATGGAACAGTAGTGGGCAAAACTGTGGTTTATTAAGTGTGATCATTCTCCATCATTCGGTTTCCAGCTTCCTTAACTTTTATTCCTCCTCTGCTCTATCCTCACAGAATTGCTGGAATCCACAAATACCAAACTATGGCCATTGAAGCTGACCTTGGAGGTGGCAACTTTGTTTATCTTGTTTATTTTCTTCCTGGAGATCCTTCTTAAGTGGCTATCCAACTTTTCCCTTTTCTGGAAGAGTGGCTGGAATGTCTTTGACTTTGTTGTTACCATGTTGGTAAGGATAGAGATCCTGAGGGTTCCTTTAGTGGGATGAAGAATGTACCTAGGTGAATCAAAAGGACAAGAAAAGTTAACATAATAATAGGAAGAAACAAAAATTTACTTCCTTCTTTTGATTTTTGTTCCCTAAAACTAAACATCAGTCATTGCAGGAGTTGTTGGTGTTAGGAGCAAGGTAGACCACAACGTCAATGCCAACAAGAACATCTGCCTGTTACTGAGCACTTATTAAGTGCCAGGCACTATTTTAAGTGTTTTCCTTACATTACCTCATTTATGCTCCACGACAACCCAATTAAATAACCATGAATTTATCCCCCTTTTTATATCTGAACAAGTTGAAGTACAGTGTTTAAGCAACTTAATATAAAAAGGCTGAATAGGAAACAATTCTCAGAGAATGCTATTCAAGGGATAATGCCCAGGGAACAATGAAGAGGATGAGATGAAGAAGGTGCAACTGTGCCTGTGTGCCTTGGGGTGTATTTTACTCATAATCTGTGTGTTTTCCACAGTCCCTGCTTCCCGAGGTTGTGGTATTGGTAGGGGTAACAGGCCAATCGGTGTGGCTTCAGCTTCTGAGGATCTGCCGGGTGCTGAGGTCTCTCAAACTCCTTGCACAATTCCGTCAAATTCGAGTTATTATTTTGGTTCTGGTCAGGGCCCTCAAGGTGATTTGACTGTTGCAAGCTAAAGCAGGGGGCAAGGTAGATAAATATGAGGACTTAACACAGAATATGAAACAAATCGGCCAGGCACGGTGGCTCACGGCTGTAATCCCAGCATTTTGGGAGGCCGAGGGGGACAGATCATGAGGTCAGGAGTTCAAGACCAGCCTGACCAAAGTGGTGAAACCTGGTCTCTACTAAAAATACAAAAAAAAAAAAAAAAAAAAAAAAAAAATTAGCCAGGTGTGGTGCTGTGTGCCTGTAATCCCAGCTACTCAGGAGGCTGAGGCAGGAGAATTGCTTGACCCTGGGAGGCAGAGGTTGCAGTGAGTCAAGACTGCACCACTGCACTCTAGCCTAGGCGACAGAGTGAGACTCCATCTTAAAAAAAAAAAAAGAATATGAAACAAATCTTGGTGGGTCAAAGAAGGCAATGAAACGTCCTGTGATATGTTATTGGATGAGAAGGGGCTGGGGACAGGTGCCATGGTTCAGAGATGACTGGGTTCAGGAGTGCAAGGGAGGGTTTGGTGGGGGATTGCCAGGTGGCCTTGACTGGGCTGTTGGTGGAGATCAGCCTAGTTTGGCCGACATCTGACTTGAGGTTATGGCCTCTAGAGCATGACCTTCCTCTTGATGTTGCTGCTTATCTTCTTCTACATTTTTGTTGTGACTGGTGTCTACCTCTTCCCAGAGTATACCCCTTCACCTCGTCAGGACCTGGAGTACCATGTGTTCTTCTTGTAAGCAGAGCTGGCGAACAGCTGGGTGAGGGGAAAAAATTTGGCTAAGAGACCAGGAAGCTTGTCCAAAGTATAGTAATATAAAAAGTACAGTCTATTCCAAGAAACTGAAATAGAACACAATAGGGAGAGGGAAAGAGAAAGCAAAAGAATAGTGAGTGGTTTTAGCTCTGATCTTGAGAGTAGGGCAGCTAGTTCCATGTTTATTCTGGGTTTTGCAAATTCAAACCACACTGTCATCAGGCATCTTTTTTGTTTTTTTTTTTTGAAACGGAGTCTCGCTCTGTTGCCCCAGGCTGGAGTGCAGTGGCCGGATCTCAGCTCACTGCAAGCTCTGCCTCCCGGGTTCACGCTATTCTCCTGCCTCAGCCTCCCGAGTAGCTGGGACTACAGGCGCCCGCCACCTCGCCCGGCTAGTTTTTTTTTTTGTATTTTTTAGTAGAGACGGGGTTTCACCGTGTTAGCCAGGATAGTCTTGATCTCCTGACCTTGTGATCCGCCCGTCTTGGCCTCCTAAAGTGCTGGGATTACAGGCTTGAGCCACCGCGCCCAGCCACCCAGCCAGGCATCTTTAAATAGCAGTACAGTCCAGTGGTTAAGCTTGGTTTCTGTGACTCAGTTACCTCTTTTGAAAAATGGGGGCCAGGCGCGGTGTCTCACGCCTGTAATCCCAGCACTTTGAGAAGCCAAGGCCGGTTGTTCACCTGAGGTCAGGAGCTCAAGATCAGCCTGACCAACATGGTGAAACCCTGTCTCTACTAAAAATACAAAAATTAGCCAGGCGTGGTGGTGGGCTCCTGTAATCTCAGCTATTCGGGAGGCTGAGACAGGAGAATTGCTTGAATATGGGAGGCGGAGGTTGCATTGAGCCGAGATTGAGCCAATGCACTCCATCCTGGGCTACAAAGAGTGAAATTCTGTTTCACAAAAAAAGAAAAGGCGGTGGGGGAGAATAATAGCAGTGCTATTTCATAAGAGTGTGGGGGTAAATGTGGTAATGCATTTAAGCCCTTAGCACAGTATATAACACATTATAAGTGATCAATGAATGTTACTGTGATTCCCAAATATGATCGCTGGTTTTATCCCAATCTCTATATATTACACGTGCACGTGCCTATTGCTGGTCTCTGTCTAGAAAACACTAATCAATGCTCACTTTGGCAGCGCATGTACTAAAATTGGAACGATATAGAGAATATTAGCATGGCCCTTGTGCAAGGATGACACACAAATTTATGAAATGTTACATATTTTTTAAATATTAACAAAACCCGACTAATCTGTTTTCTAGAAGAAAATCAACTTGAATTTAGAGTAGATAATCCCGTTTATGAATTAGAATTCAATCTTGTCAACTCTCAGGACTCTGTTAGACTCTAACAGATAGTTTTGTAAGAGTATTGAGTTAGGAAAATCCTAGAATTTATCCTATACAAGCTCTGATGTTTTCAATAAATTGTGTATGGGGGACTAGAAGGAAAGGAAGTAAAATTTAGGTACCTTCCCGGAAACGTTTTACTTTTTTAGCAATTTTTAAATATTATTAATTTTATAATCTGTATATTTCGTTATTTAGGATCACATATATTTATGTAACATGCCCACTTACCTGCATATCATTTCATACCAGCAAACTAATAGGAATAATTTTGTGAATGATCTTCTATTTTGCTAAATTTGCTAAATTTGCTAAATTTTGCTAAATTTGCGAGTGATCTTCTATTAAGTGGAGTCCATAGAGCAGTGGAGAATAAAATTAGAAAAAACGGCCAGGCATGGTGGCTCACACCTGTAATCCCAGCACTTTGGGAGGCCGAGGCAGGCAGACAGATCACTTGAGGTCAGGAGTTCAAGACCAGCCTGGCCAGCGTGGTGAAACCCTGTCTCTACTAAAAATACGAAAATTAGCTGGGCATGGTGGCGCATGCCTGTAATCCTGACTACTTGGGAGGCTGAGGCGAGAGAATCACTTGAGCCTGGGGGTCAGAGGTTGAAGTGAGCTGAGATTGCGCCACTCTAGCCTGGATGATAAAGTAAGACTCTGTCTAAAAAAAAAAAAAAAAAAAAAAAAATAGAAAAAACTATCTAGTTGGTGATTCATTCATCTTTGAAAATTCAGTCAATACCTATTTATTGAGTATTTGTTATACCCCAGGACTAATGGAATAGTGAGAGGTAGTCATAGATTATTCATGATAAAGGAGAATTTAGGCTGGGTGTGGTGGCTCACGCCTATAATCCTAGCATTTTGGGAGGCTGAGACTGGCAGATCACCTTAGGTCAGGAGTTCAAGACCAGCCTGGCCAACATAACAAAACTCCATCTCTACTAAAACTACACAAATTAGCTAGGCATGGTGGTGCTTGCCTGTAATCCCAGCTACTTGGGGGACTGAGACAGGAGAATTTCTTGAACCCAGCAGGTAGAGGTTGCAGTGAGCTGAGATCGCGCCACTGCACTCCAGCCTGGACAACAGAGTGAGACTCCGTCTCAAAATAAATAGATAGACTGGGCGCGGTGGCTCAAGCCTGTAATCCCAGCACTTTGGGAGGCCGAGACGGGCGGATCACAAGGTCAGGAGATCGAGACCATCCTGGCTAACATGGTGAAACCTCGTCTCTACTAAAAAATACAAAAAACTAGCCGGGCGAGGTGGTGGGCACCTGTAGTCCCAGCTACTTGGGAGGCTGAGGCAGAAGAATGGCATGAACCTGGGAGGTGGAGCTTGCAGTGAGCTGAGATCCGGCCACTGCACTCCAGCCTGGGCGACAGAGCAAGAATCTGTCTCTAAATAAATAAATAAATAAATAAATAAATAAATAAATAAATAAAATAAAACAACTTCAAACCGAAGAGTGATTAGCTAAAAACTGAGTATGGTAGAAAAGGAACCAAAATCAGAACAAACTGTAAAGAAATGCGTTATGTTTCTTTAAAAGTAAGAATGGTACCATTTTTGAAAGGTTTAGGTCTCTGTTTCTGTCTATTCACATGCCTTTTTCTTTAGGGACCTCCCGAATTCCCTGGTAACAGTGTTCATTCTCTTCACCTTGGATCATTGGTATGCACTGCTTCAGGATGTCTGGAAGGTGCGTGAACCCAGTCGCATCTTCAGCATCTATTTCATCCTTTGGTTGTTGCTTGGCTCCATTATCTTTCGGAGTATCATAGTAGCCATGATGGGTAAGCATAGAGGAGGTGAAACTTGTTTGGGAAGGGTGGTTGGGAAGAAATTAGTCTGAAAGCGGGGATTGGTGGCTTATGGGTATAAAGAACCTAGTGTAGCAGGAAGGCTTGGGTTCTGGATGGGATATTTCACTTGGATTCTCCCCACCCAAGCCCTCTTCCCAGGTCTAGTCATTACCATCTCCCAACTCCTAATGGCCCTTTGGGGCAGTTACTAACTTTCAGAATATCAGGAAAGAGATGAATGAGGAGATGGCACGTCAGGAGGTTCAGCTGAAAGCTGACATGTTCAAGCGGCAGATCATCCAGAGGTCTGCTTCTCCCTTTTCAACCCCAACTTTCCTTCTCAAGGGTTTCCTGAGCTCATTTCTTTTTCTGCTCCTTGACCCCACTTTTCCCTTTGTGACAGATGATTTGCCCCCAAGGATAAGAATTCTCTAGCTCTAGAACATTGCCTGATTCTTCATCCACTGTGGGAGTCCTCCATTTTTTTTCACCCCTTGACTACAATTTGTTCTCCCCAGTTAGTTTTCTTCACTTTCTGACATGAACTCTTTTTTTCTTACCACACTTTTGCTTGAATATAACTGTCTTCGCTCATTTTTTTTTTTTTTTTAATTTGCCTTGCAGGAGAAAAAAACGTGTCACAGGAGGCACTGAGGTCAAGCCATAGCAAAATAGATGACAGGTTAGGAGTATGTATGTGAACTGGAATAGAAACACATGAAGGAGGAGAGGGTGGAAAACTAAAGATGAAGATTGGCTTTGAGAGAGAATTCATTCATTTAATAATTGCATATTGTAGTAGGTTGACTAGTGGCACCCAAAATAATATGTCCATGTCCTTACTCCCTGGAACCTGTGAATGTGACCTTATTTGGAAAAAAAGATCCTAAGTTAAGGATAATCCTAAGGATAATCTAGAATGAGATCATCCTAGATTATCCAGGTAGGTCCTAAATCCATTGGCAAGGATACTTATAAGAGATGAAAGAGGAGAAGACACAGAGAATAGGAGGCTATGTGAAGATGGAAATAGAGGTTGGGGCTAATGCTGCCACAAGCCAAGGAAAGCTGAGGAATGCCAGGCAGCTGCCAGAAGGTAGAAGAGGCAAGGAACTTCTCCCGCAAAGCCTCCAGAGGGAGTATGGCCCTGTCAACTTCATTTTAGACTCTGGCCTCTAGAATTGTGAGGGAATATATTTCTGTCATTTTAAGCTACCAAGTTTATAGTAATTTGTTATGGCTGCCACAGGACACTAATACACATACCTTCAATGAAACAGATATGATTCTAGACCCTAAGCGTTTAGCAGTGGACAAAGAGAGCAGAAGCAAAAATGAACCCATTCACTCATTAACAAATAATTACTGGCTAGATGTGGTGGCTTATACTTGTAATCCCAACACTGTGAGAGGCCCAGGCAAAAGGATTGCTTGAAGTTCAAGCCAGAAGTTCAAGGCTGCATTGAGACATGATTGCACCACTGTACTCCAGCCTGGACAACAGACCAAGATCCCATCTCAAAAATTTAGCAGGGTGGGCACAGTGGCTCATGCCTGTAATACCAGCATTTTGGAAAACTGAGGTGGGTAGATCACTTGAGCTCAGGAGTTCAAGACTAACCTAGGCAATGTGGCAAAATTCTGCCTCTGCAAACAAAAATCAGCTGGATGTGGTGTTGTGCTCTTGTGGTCCCAGCTACTTAGGAGGCTGAGGTGGGAGGATCGCTTGAGCCTGGGAGGCTGAGGCTGTGGTGAGCCATGATTTTGCCACTGCTCTGCAGCCTGGGTGACAGAGCAAGACACTGTCTCAAAAAAAACAAACAAAAAACAATAAAGAACAAATAATTATTGAATACTTAGTAGGTGCTTGGGATGTATCAATGAACAAAACAGACAATAATGCCTGCTTCATGAAACTTACATATTAGTAGTGGCAAAGATATAATAAGCAGTGAACATATTAAATAGATTAATATGTTAAAATATGATAAGCATTAAGGGAAAATTAAAAGTAGAATAGGTTAAGGGAGATTGGGAGTAGAAAGTGGGATTGCAGATGTGTTGTAGTGTTTTTGTTTTGTTTTGAGACAGAGTCTTGCTCTGTCGCTAGGCTGGAGTGCAGTGGCATGATCTTGGCTCACTGCAACCTTCACTTCCGAGGTTCAAGCGATTCTTCTGCCTCAGCCTCCCAAATAGCTGGGACTACAGGTGCATGCCACCATGCCAGGCTAATTTTTCTTTTTTTTTTTTTCTTTTTTTTGTATTTTAATAGAGACGAGGTTTCACCATGTTGCTCAGGCTGGTCTTAAACTCCTGAGCTCAGGCACTCCATCCGCCTCAGCCTCCCAAAGAGTTAGGATTACAGGCGTGAGCCCCTGTGCCCAGCCACAGATGGGTTATAGTTTTAAACAGGGTAGTCAGGGTGACCTCATTGAAAAGGTAATATGAGCAAAGACTTGAAGGAGGTAAGGGGATCACCATGTGGGTATCTATAAGAAGAGTGTTAATAGGCAGATGAAACAGCTAGTGCAAAGGTCCTAAGCTGGAAGCATGCTTGGTGTGTTTGAGAAACAGCAAGGAGGCCATTGTGAATGGAGTAGAGTGAGCAGGGGGAAGAGTGCTGGGAAATGAAGTCAGAGAGATAATGGTGACATGATCCTGTAGGGTTAGGGGTGCCATTGTAGGGACTTTGAAATGGAAAGCAGAACAGAGGAGTGACATGAGGTGACTTACATTTAAGAAGGATTACTCTGGTTACTGTGTTGGTAGAAGAACAAGGGAAGGAGCAGAGAGATCAGTTGGGAGGCTATGCTGCTGCCCAGGCAAGAAATGATGACAGCGTAGGCCAGAGTGGTAGCAGTGAGTTAGTGAGAAAAGATTTATTTCGAAGGTATAGAGTCAGCAGGATTTCTTGATGGACTGGATATGGTAGGGAAGAGAAGAGTTAAGGATGATACATGAATGATTGAGTTTGGAAGTGCCTGAGTTTAGAGTTTGGGAGTAGTTTGGCCCTCATTGTCTTATGCCCCAGCTTTAGGGGGTGGCCAGGGCCAGAACCAGAATAATGAGTGGACTAGTCATGTCTTGTAAATGTTTGTGAAGCCATAAATTTCTCCTTTCACTTCAAGAGGAGCTGGTCAACAAAGGGAAAGTTTGGACTTACCAGAAGTGTCTGAAGTAGAGTCTAATTATGGTGCCACTGAAGAGGATTTAATAACATCTGCATCAAAAACAGAAGAGACCTTGTCAAAAAAGAGAGTACCAATCTTCCTCCTCTGTCTCTTCCACATCCTCTTCCTATTCTTCCTCTTCCGAATCCAGATTTTCTGAATCTATTCCTGAGCCAAAGAACTATAATAATGAGTTTTTTCCATTTGAATTCAGACTCCTTTATAAGACAACTAAGTCTTAACAGGAGCTCTCCTACTGTATCTCCTTTCCAATTTTCTGGTCTTAATTTCTTTTTGCTTCTTCATTTCCCCTGTCCTCCTTCTTCACTTTGGGTAAGTGTGGCTATGGCCCTCTTTGCTCACTGTAAAAAGTGATTTCTTGCTGATGCACCCTTTCCCTCCTTGCTTCCTGTTACTTCTTCCCACCCCACCTTTCCACCCACACCATAGGATTTACCAGCTCTTACCCAACTTTTACAAACCTAGCCATGCTTTTCTGAAGCATTCCTCCCAACAGGTCATTTGGACTGGGAGACTCTTGTGCATGAAAATCTGCCTGGGCTAATGCAAATGGATCAGGATGACCATGTTTGGCCCAGAGACTCACTCTTCTGATATTTTAAGTTGCTAGAAAATCTTCAGTATAACCTAGAGGAGCGTAAGAAGTTACAAGAGTTTGCAGGTATGGAGTTAAGGTAGTCATGGGGACCATGGGAATATATATATAGCGTTTATAACTGTGGAGGAGGAGGAGGGTGTCCGCTATTCTGGCATCTCAGCTTCTAAATTTCTGCCTATACCTAAAATAGGCAAATTCTTGGTTTGGTATGTCACATTCTGGGCATGTGTCCCACTTTTCCCTAACTGAGAGAGAACCTAGAAACTCTGCTTCTGTAGCACGGGACGCCCAAATCCTATGAGGTATGAGAGCTTATTTCCCAAGAAGAGAAAATCTAATCCCAGTTGTTGGGAATTAGGACAAGGTAGGCTCTTGCTTGATTTGGGCAGCCCACCGGTTTCTGCACGTTTGTTCTCTCTGAAGATTGCATTTCAGACTTGAGCAGCAGGGCCTAAGGCTCAATCTGGAGAGCTATGGGGGATCAGACAATGAGCAGGAGGCGCACAAGTGCTCACTGTCCTAACTCCCTAAAGAAGTTTATGAATTCTAAACTTCTGTTTGTATCTGTCCCTTCTAGTGTCAGCCTCTATAAAGACAAATACGTGATTTAAATAGTAGAGTCTGATGTAAACTGAGAACTATTCAGTTATTTTTCCTAAATTTCATTACTCTATGACTAATTTGAATTAATAAAATTTCCCTCTAAAAGTTAAAAAAAAAGGCTGGGCATGGTGGCTCACTCCTGTAATCCCAGCACTTTGGGAGGCGGAGGCAGAAGAATCACGAGATCAGGAGATCAAGATCATCCTGGCCAACATGGTGAGACCCCATCTCTACTAAGATACAAAAAATCAGCCGGGCGTTGTGGCGCATGCCTGTAGTCCCAGCTACTCTGGAGGCTGAGGCAGGAGAATTGCTTGAACCTGGGAGGCAGAGGTTGCAGTGAGCAGAGATCACGCCACTGAACTCCAGCCTGGCAACAGAATGACACTCCATCTCATAACAAAGCTAAAACAGAAGAGTTAGGGGCGGATTTTTATAATTTAATATGTGTTATCTGGGTTTTTCCCCTCATACCTAGTTGAAATCAACTCAGTGTGAAAATAAGAAATTAGAGAGAAGGACTGTGTGTTTGTGTGTGGTGGGCACAGGTGGGCAATGAGGAATTTATAACATTGGAACATGGAATTTAGGGCAAGATGTGAAAGACAGGCTTTGCTTACTTCAAAATGTTGCCTAAATTTAATCCTGTTCCTGCTAGTCCTTAGCCCTGCCTTCCCACTTATTCTCTAGGGAGGACAGGGTGAAAGGAGGAAAATGCAGCAAGGTGATTTCTTTAATCCTGATAAACATGTCTATGGCAAAGAGTACACAGAATCATAAGGCTTAAAGATTAGTAAAAGACTTTTGTGGGAACCTAGAACCCAGAAAAGCAACATCTTCACCAAACATTTATATATGTAGAATATTCTTCGTTCTCCAGCCTGACAATCTGTTTCCTTTGCAGTGCAGGCACTGATGAACTTGGAAGACAAGTAAAGCAATGGATGGCTTCAATATCCTTGAGCCCAGCAAAAGATAATAAAGGGAACTGTTGGAAATAGAGAATTGAAAATATAAACATTCAGATAGAACAATGTCTGTTCATTAAAATTAAAAAGTATAAGTTTCTAGGCCGAGTGGTGGCTCACGCCTGTGATCCCAGCACTTTGGGATGCCGAGGTGGATGGATCACCTGAGGTCAGGAGTTCAAGACCAGCCTGGCCAAAATGGTGAAACACTGTCCCTACTAAAAAATAAAGTTAAAAAAAAATTTTAGCTGGATGTGGTGGCAGATGCTTGTAATCTCAGCTACTCGGGAGCCTGAGGCAGGAGAATCACTTGAAGCTGGGAGGCAGAGGTTGCAGTGAGCCAAGATCACGCCACTGCGCAACACTGCGCAACCCTGGGCAACAGAGTGAGACTCCGTCTCAAAAAAAAAGTTTGTAGGTGTCTAATAGATATTCCTAGTAGCTGCTCAGTAGTCTGTCTGTGAAATAAGGGATACTGAAAGGCATAAGGTCAAGCAAAAGAGTTAGTTCAAGCTAAGTGTGGTGATGTATGCCTCTAGTCCCAGCTATGAACTGAGGCAGGATTGTTTGAGTCTGGGAGTTCGAGGCTGCAGCAAGTTAGGATCATACCACTGCATTCCAGCCTGGGCAACATAGCAAGACCCTGTCTCTAAAAAAGAACAAAACAAGTTAGCTCAGATGCCAGTGGAGACTGTGCTCCTTAGCTTTCTACCCTTTCCACGGCTCCTGAATCCGATTCATTTCTTGACTTTATCATTATAGCTTCCACCCTTCCTGCAACCTCTACTGCCTGATTATGGTCCTAATTTTACCTTCTCCCTCTCTGATGCATAGGTAAAGGCCTGTCTGTGGAGTAAGGAGATCTTCAGAGCTGTTAGTTCAACTAATTGAGAAGTGTTGTTTCCATTGCCTGTTTTACTCATGTTGCTTCTCTTGTGAACCATTAACTTTAATTGGATATTATTTTTACCTGTTACTGGACCATAAGTCTCTATTTCATTTTGCCATTGCTCAGGGCAGTGTTCAAATCAGTAAGTGTTGTACAGGTTTTTAGTGTTAGAAGGGATTTCAGAGTTAATCTGTCTCCCATCAAAGCAGGAACACCTTT